GAGCACACCTGAGATATGTACTGAACGCCTCCACCGACGGTTGGGTCAGCGTAGATGACACAATCCCCGCCCCATTTTGGATGAGTCATCACCTTAACTTACCCACATTCAAGGAATTGTGCCATCTTCTTTCACCCAGGTGTATTACAAAATGAAGTATTGCAAAAGGCAGTTACACCTATGGTCGGGACTGGCCTTATTAAGCTTCCCGTATTGCGTGCTTTCTTCTTCTTCTTCTTCTTCTTCTTTTCTTTTCGCGTCCGCCACTCCGGCCCTTTGCTCTGTCTGGGCGCAAGGTGGAGTACCTGCTTGTGAAGCCCCTGGCAACCCGTGGGTTGATTTCCAATAGAGCCTCAGAGCCTTGCGCGTACCGGAAACAAATAGAACCAACCTTGCTACATAGTTGAACTCCAGGAGGTCAAGGTGAGCATAAGAAAGAAGCTGGGGGGTTGACCGAAATCCGGCAGACCTTCGCTTCAAGGGAATAAGGTGCTCTTTGACTATCATGGACGTGAACATGGGGCTTCTGCAAACGAAAACTCGTCTTCGAAAAGCCTGCAGTCAGCTTCCATGATTGGAGGGATCTACTATAGGGAAACCGTTGCCTGCGCATCTCGCCCGTGCCTCCTGCAACCGCAAAGAGCGCTTGAACACCAGCTGCGCCTGGAGTTTGAGCGAGGAGTCTTTTGGGTTCTACAAACGAGGGAGCCCTCCGAGTTGTCCCGTTTCCCTTCGGCTTTTCTTCAAACACCCCGAGAAAGCAAGGTTCATCCTCAAAAGCATCCCACTGGGCCAGTGTCCACCCTGTTAGGTTACACATCAGGTGCAAGGGAACACCTTGCAAGGGATTTGGACGAAATTAGATGCATCCGGAAACAAAGTCAACAGCTCCGCTTGCGGCTTCGGCCAAACCTGAAACCCCTCAATGGAGCAAATGCGTGAGCCCGGTTTATCTCCGAATGAGACCGTCATCAGCCCTTTGCGCTAAGTTGTTTGCCAGCATCCTGCAAATGGAAAATGCACAAAAGTGGCTGGGTTTCCCGATATTCCCCCACAGTCCGTTTATTCGAGGTCTATACCTGCTCAGCCACTGCAAAACAAGCCTTGCCGAGTGAATTTCTCTAGAGGAATTTGGAGGTGGATCTTAGATGGATAAAGAATCAGCGGGGCCAGCAGCTGATGGTTCTAACATAAATGGCCATGGGTCAAAACCCCGTACCCCCAGTGAACATTCCAATCCGAACTAAAACAGACAAAAATGGAGTGGTGCACCTGTCCCAAAATGGGAGCATTGGTTTTGAACCGTGGCCAAAAAAACAAAAAACTACACAAAGCCGGGATGGCCAAGGAAACCGAATCATTTCACAAACAGAAAAAGTACTAAAGGTCAGACCAAGAAGCTACCGCGCTGGGAATCCTTTCTGTGTCAGAATAGGGTTACCCCGAAATGGGTGGTGTCCTCAATGTTTTCCTAAAAAACTACCTGAAAGGGATACCCTTAAAGGAACAATACACATGCAAACACACACGCACACGCACACGCAGCGTCCCCCGGCCGGTGGCCGCAGCGACACATGCGACGGCGACACCTTTGTCCTCGGCGTGTCCAAGGCGATACCGACAAATCCGCCAGCCCACGTGGCTTGTCGAAAAAACTACCCACGCAATGCTTGGTTTTCCTTTCGCTTCCTATGAAAACCAACCGCAGATAGTAGTGCACTCCAAAGGCAAACACACACACACACACACAAACCAAACATCAAACATCAAACATACCATACATTGCTTCCAACTTCCACCCTTGAAGCCAACATGCAAGTGTAACATGCCTTCACTGCGGGCACGACCCCCTTCCATACCATACTGGAAAGGAAGATAGCCGGAGAACCCCCGAGTCTCGAAGGCCCATGAAATACTTAGAAACATCCAATTGATCATTTATTCAGTCTGTAGAAACTGGCTATCCGCTTCCTTGCCCATAAAAGCCAGCCACAAACGCCCAAGTTTTCGTTGGCGCCCAGAAAACAAATCGCACCACTCCTTAGTTGCAACCGGTGCCTCGACTGGGTCGAGCCAAAAAACAGAGGTCTTCTCGATCCGGGATTGCCATTGGGAGACTGACCCGACAAGTAAAAACGAAATGAAACTCTTTTGTGAATGACTATCTTTAACGAATCGAACACCTACCAAACAAATAGGGCCGATTGAGAGGGTGGAATCCGTTCAAATGCTTTGGGGTTCAATTCGAAGTCCGGCTTCGTGAAAAGACTGGACCAAATCCTTTAGCCAAGGATTCAACATTTCCCTTTGCCCAGCCCATCTGGGCTGACCAAAGCAGGCGGCCCCTGTATTCGACCATGTTCTTGTTGGGACTTTCAGGTGGGTCCATGGCAACGTGGGAAAACTTGATATGTGGCCTAATTTCAAAAAAGAATAGTGCATGCAAGCGGGGCTTCCGGGCACATCTTCCCAAAACAAACCAGACTCCGTCGATGTTTGACTCGGGACGGGGGCATCTTATCTTATCCAACAAAAAAATCGCACCATTTATGGTAGAAATTCGGAAGAACTCTTTGAAGGCAATGGGGATGTTTGACCCTTCAACACGGGAACTGGCCATGGAAAATGGGTGTGGCCAAACTTGCGAAACATGTTTATCCTTTTGAAAAGTATCAGGACGATTCAATTCCTTTCCGCTCTCGCTGCTCTCGTTCGCCCGTCCAAAAGTTGGAGATGTTTAGACCCCCAGGGCCCAAACAAAATGTTCCAAATTTTAAAAGATGCCTAAAAATCACCATCCAACACGAGGAACTACACCTGTAGGCCCGCCCTTTTAAGGGAAATAGATGGATTTCCCCGGTAGATGATTACACCACCACCACCAGGAATCGGAACCCACCTATTTTTCTGCCAGTATGCCCTTGACACTATGCCCATAACTTCAAGGCAATCCATCTCCGGGAGTCCCCGCTTGGCCCGCAGACTCGGCGCGACCATGTCCAGGACATGCGGCTTTGGCCTCGGCACCACAGGTCTGGGGTCCTGGGTAAACACTTCCATTTGCTTGAGCCCCCCAAGAGAAAAACAAAAACAAAAAACATCTTTCCGGTGATAGATTCCTTCAAAAATTAAAACCAACAAGGGAACAGAACACATGTTCTTAAGGAAATGGAACAATAGCTCTGGAAAATGTCAATTCGACCATTGCCTTCTTGGTTTCCTTCTGGACAAGCTAAACAAGTGTGCATCCACTTTTGGCTTGATGTACGGGGAATTTAGTAATTAAACATCAGGTGCTATCAGATCTCCAGAGTACTCGAGTGGCCGATCTGAAAGCGAGCCATGATGAAATCTGGTGTTAACAAGGTCTACCACGACAAATGTCAAGTACTTAAAGTGCGGGCTATTGTGACTGCTCCTACCACCCTTTGTGATCGTGGCTCAAGTGAGCAACCGCCGGGTCTCCCTGGGGAAGTACTTCTGGCATTCCTGCTCTTAACAAGCACCTCGCCCCGTGAACCATGTTCCCAAAAGGCTTGAAGTCCAGGAATTCAGGAGTGAGTGACTGGAAGTATAAACTCCATGAAAATGCCATAGGCCCAGCAGTTGTCCCACGTGGGCCCATCCCAGCCCCAGAAAGGGTCCCGCAAGGGCCCATTTGGCTGTAGGCATTTGCTAGAAACGCCTTCAAAACAAACTTCAACCGAGTCTTTGACCCCAAACCTCCCCATTTTGCCCCCTTTGGTGTGGAAGTCGAATGGTTCTCTTTCAGTAGCTGTTGGCATATGGTTCATGCTGGATGCTTGTTGGCCAGCCAAAAGCAATCCACTCTTGCCCCTACACGAGCAAAAGTAAAGAGCCCAACAGGTCGAAGGTCAGGCGATGAAGATCCAAGCAAATTGGGAACCAACAGAACACGGCCCCGCGGTATGCCTGTCTGTCTGTCCGTCTGCCCGCCTGCCTGCCTGTCTGTCTTTGTGTTTGTGTGTTTGTGGATTTGTTTGTTTGTGTGTGCTTGCGTTTTTAAGGGTGCCCCTTCTAAGGAAACACAATATTTTTCTTCCCCCCCCCCATTTTGATACATACCCGGATTTCGGCCCATCAACACCAGCCAGGCTGCAGCTCTTTCATTTCTCTCTAGGCAGCGCGCGTCTCTCGGAAGCTAAGCGTCGTTCTTGTGGCTGCTTGCTGTTTGACCTGTTGTACTTTTTTCTCGGGCAAGGGATCCAAACAGAACATTGGACGTGGATATTTTCGGAGGGAAGACGTGCAAAGCAGCAGGTCAAAGGGCAAACCGTGCATGTCAAATCTCAAGGAGTGCCTGATGTTCAGCTGGAACATGTCGGGGCTGTCCTTTTTGTAGTGCCTCTGGTTGATTTTGAACGGACAATAATTAGAGACATACTGGAAAATGTTTGATTGTTTTTCCTTTGGGGAGCCATTCGTTTTTGGGATCAGGTTGTCATAAAAGGACCGCCCTGGAACATGTTCAGCCAGTTCTTCTTTGAGTTGGGGCTCGTTTTCACGCCACTTCATATTTACAGTGCGTCCGAGACTAGAGCAAGTCGCATTGCCTCTGATGGGCTGTTCGAATTATAAGAGGCTCACAGATTCAAACCTGCCTGCGCCGTTTAAATCATCTGGCCACAACTTCGGCCTGGGAAGCGTCAAATGGGCCCTTGACAAGGACCCTTTATCCACCAACACTGGAATACCTCCCTCCACGCACATTTTGTTCACAAGCGTATATACAACTTTGCTGGGCTCACTGCTATCAACAGCTACGGGTCCATTTCAAGGGGTCATTCAACGTTGCGATAGATTCGGGCACGATTCCCTGATGGTTCGCTTGGCCTACGCGAATGTGGACGCACATCCTGAAATGATTGGATCGTTTTGTTGCAACATATGTCATTGCGTGCTTTGTCAGTCCTTGCCACTCGCATGTAAACATGTATCACTTGGCTCCCGTTAGGTCGAGGGCCACCAGATCTCTCGACTCAGCCGATCACTCCACAAACCACGTAGGCATTCTGATGCTGGCACACTGGGCAGCTGCGGTTGCCTGACAGACAGCCAAACGGCCAATGGAGCCTTTGATTTTGTGCTATGTAGGGCCGTAGGGGTCTGGACAGATTGCAACACCATGTTTTTGTTTTGTTTTGGCGCTAGCAATCTCACCGCAGCGCAAGCTCTGAACACGAGCTCGGCTATAAATTCGGCTTCCTTGCTTGGAGAAATCATGTTTGTGAATTCTAGCAAGTCGCTCAAATGTTTGGGACCACTGTGTTCATCATTTTACACATCAACACGTCGAACACGTCGTTAAACATACAGACACAAAAAATTACACATATCATTTCATTGGAAGGCCGAAGCTGAGGCATGCTCATGCGTAGCACCGGGACCGTTATAGACTTGCATGGGGGGCCCGGGTGAATATGAATCGTGATCGACCCATCTGGATGACATCATTTACATGGGGATGTATGTCCACCAGTCATTTTAAGGTCCCCTATTCAAATCCATTGAAGCATAGCATGTAAAACACTTTGCTTGTATCGTGCAGATATCTGTTTGCCTTTGCCGGAGCAATGACTAAGATTACCATGGGCCCAAGGAAACTTATGTGGGCCAGCTGCATGTGCAGCTTGGCTACATCAGGCCATAGCCAAACCAATGTTGAATTGAAAGAGCATCCCTATCTTTTGCTTGTCTAAGTGGCAGACATATTAGCCGACTGATCACGAGCTAAGCTTGGTCATCTGGTCTTAGAAGGTTGGATCTGACATGCTCAGGGAAACATGCGTTTGGGATTCCGAAGCCAATGCCAGCTGACGAACTAACGAATATTACCTCATGCCCCGGAAGTGTGTTCTCCACGACCACCTGGGATGACCAAAGCCAGTCTCATCCTGGTAAGCGCTTTTTCGCTATGGGCAAACACATGGAAAACCAAAACTCAGTTGTTCACTGACCCTGGAAAAAAGGGAACCCTTTTTGGAGAAGACCATTTTTAGTGGGCAGCCACCCAACAAAAAGGAAAAGGGTGCCACAACTCGGAAAAGAGATCGAAAAGTGAGCACACGAGACACGCAACTGAATGGGCGCCCATTCAGCAAACGGATGGGCATCACAAGCTTCAAGGTAAGCGGTGCACTTGGAAAACACATGCTGGATCCCAAGTGCGAAAAGGATATTGCGAACTGTCAAAGAAAAAACTCACCAAAGCGACGCGAATTGAACCTTGGCCGAGTCTTTAGGTGACATTCCAAGAGGTTATTCCCAGATTTCAAGCAAGCCAACCACACATGGGCAGAACGCATATTGTCTCAACGTAGGGCAACCTCCCAAATTCCCTTACTTGCATGACTCCCTCTCTTTTCAGCCCAGGTGACTCCCTGCCTCTCCCCAAGACTTCCTTCTCTCCGTTTGCTTTGTGCCTTCACCGTAGCTTTCCCAGAGAGCTTTAATCAACATGAACATTTTCCAAACATTAACATGGCCATGGGGGCATAACCTATGGCTCCATTTTGGGGTGGATGAACATCCATTTGCCACCTATTTTGATGTTCACCTGGGGTACAGGGTTTTGACCCACAGCCACATACAAACAGTTCGCGGCAGTATTTGCCCTTCCGTCCAAGAAATCCCTTTGTGTCCGCACCTTGAGTTTGCCACTGCTCCAGGCAGCCATTGTCCCGGCAGAGGCACGCGTGGCCACAGTTCAGCGCACCCACGCGGAAGTCCCCCAGCCCGAACTCCCCGTTGCAGATCACGCCTAGGGCTTCCAGGTGGCCGCAAGGAACCCTTAGCCAATTAGCCAGTTGTCTAAAGCCAACCCAAAATTGCAGCGACATCTCGTGATAGGGTTTTCGTTTGGGAGGGAAACTGGACGAAGCAACAGCAGTGAGAGCTGGAATTAATAATTAGCTGGTTTTCTATAGCCAACCCAAAATGGTCGCGATATCTCTCGCGATGGGTTTTGTGTTTGGAACAGAAACGATGAATGATCCTGTCAAATGCAGGAGTCGACCTCCGTTGGCCCTTGCCAGCAAGGAAATCAACACGAAACCGCTGCCATTTGCAGCGGTCGTGCTTTTCCACTTGCAAGACCAAAGAGCTGCAAACAGGGATCACCTATGCCTATGATCAACTCAAACAAGTAAGAAAAACCTCTGCACACGTTTTCCGCTTTGAGAGTGCCCAACCCAAAACCACCACATTGACCACATATTGGAGCACAGCTATGAAAAACCCAGCATATATAGCCCCCACCCACTAGTAACATTGTCCAACTGAAGGTGGCTGGGGCATGCCGGAATGAACCTGCGCAAAAACAAGAGATTTGGGAGGAGTAACTCATGCGTGCTCAGGTGATTGCGCCAGCCAACTTAATCCAGTGTTGGCACTAAGAACAGTACTTGACTGCCTTACCCAAACCTCTAAACAAACACACTTGGTTCGAGTCCCTTTCAACGATTGAGAGGACAGTGCCAGTTGGCCCTTCCTCCCCCTCTCTCTTCCACGAACATTGTTGAAACTGAGCAGGGTTGTGGAAGCTCAAACGTTTTAGATTTGTTGTTCAATCACTGCAGCCCCGCAGGTTTCCAGCTGAAGAAACAAAGCTCAGTGATTGATCGGCTTTAACGTTGGGGTGACCAAATCACGTTCCACCAAGCTGAGTGAACGGACTCAAAAGGCCGAGTCACCTCAAGGAAACGGCATGCCCATCCAAAGAGTGGCGAGTCAGCAGGAAACCCTATGAAGTCCTTCATGGACGGGATCATTCTCTTTGCAAAGCTTGCCGCAAATGATGCAAACGTCGCGTGGGAGCAAAGGAATTCGCTGACTGAGCCAGTTTTTTTTCTGGGGTGGGGTTCCTCCAAAACCCTCCCCGCGTTGGAAAGAACTACGCCCCGATCCCTTCCCCCGAAAGTAAGAGCCGACGAAAGTTCGCCGCCGCCGCCGGCCTTCGCAACCCGACTTTGGACCCTTGCGGATGCCAATTCACTTGTGTAACAGGCGGTCCGAATGGGGCTTGTGCAACAAATTCCGAAGCCTGAAATAAGAATTGGATCCCAAGCACAAGGCCCACATCAGTGAGCTCGCTTTACTCTTAAGTTGAGCTCGCTAAGAAACAGTCAGATGATTGCAGCTGGCCCCTAGAGCAAAATAGACATGAGTTTGCTGACCTACAGAGTTGACGGGTCGGAGAAAGGTCGTACTCTGTTTGGCCTGGACGAAAAGTGAATGCGATTCGATAAGCCCGCCAACAAACAAATCCACCTGGGCCAACTCTCCTCTGCGTCACTCGAGTTTTCATGGTTCGGCCGCAAAATTGCCCACCATATTCTGGTTTCTGTATCAAAAGGGGCTAATTCCAATGACCTCATCACTTTCAAGAAGATTCCGCTAATTGCCTGCAACCAGTTGCTCAAGCCAAGGCTCACATCTCTGAAAGATAGATATTGAACTCACCAGCCTGGGCCGGCCTGACGCGAGCGCGAAGGATCACATGTATCGGCAGTCATGTGCTGCACAAGGGTCAGGCCACAAATCCCGCTTGAGCATGTTTGTCGGCGCTTTTGCTGGAACATCCTTGGATAGATTGTGCTTGAAGGCCGGACTCATCCGTACCCGATCTTTGCGTCTTAATACTAAGCCAATACCCAACTCCAAAGCAACACTAAACCAACAAGCCACTTGACTGAGGCCTGAATGAACTGATGACGCCAAGCCAAGGAACCCAACCCCAAAAAGGTACGGCAGTTTATGGCAGTTGATGTTCAAGGGAATCCCTCAACACAAAAACCTGGGCCAAGTACTGGCTGAACAACCAAACCCCTAATCAATGCTGGCTTTAGCACTACGACAATTCTAAACCAAGGCGAAGGCGGACGAAACTAGTACTACACCAAATCCCAAAAGTGGAACCACCCCTTAGTCTGGTCCTTGGATTTACCGCAAGCTAACAGTAACGGTTCACCTGTGGGGCATGCTAAGTTTGATTAATGGGAAAGTGAGATATGAACAAACATGCCTCTCCTAAAAGTCCGAAGCGGACATTTGTCAAGCTGTCTCAAAAAGTATGACACCTCTTTCGACCCCCACTTTCAGGCGCGCCTCACTAGGGTTCCCCAAAAGAGGCGCTTCCCGGCGCTGCCCACATTTTTGGGCAACATTTGCCTCCGTTTGCTTAAGCCCCCTGAACAACAAGCCAACATATTTTCCAGTAGTGATAGATTCCCTTTGAAACCAAAACGATGCAATTTTGGGTGGCCTTTTTGAAGGGAACCCGCCGGATTTTCCCGGATTCCCGTCCAAACCCCGGACCTCTGACCGACTGACCGAGCCGATTCGCCGAGCCGTCTGGGCCTCGGCTCGACTTGGCTCTCTGTACCACGAAGCCATTGGCCAAGGTGATGGCCCAAGTGGGAGCCAACCATCCACTGAACCTCGAGCGTGCTAAAAAAAGCGCGGGGTCGCGAAGCGGTCGCGGATCTCGGTGGCGCGGTCGGTCTGCTCGAAAAGATCACCGGCTTTTTTTCAAAACCCCCCGAAATCATGATCCATAAAGTATCACCCCGAATTCATTATTCACGGATTTTTGAAAACCCCCGGAAACTGTAATCCATATAATATCACGGATTTTGGCAGCCGCCCCAAAATGGTGGCATTGTTTTGGCTGCGTGGACGGCAAGCTGAAAAGGGAACCCTCAAACATGGGTAGGGCGTTGTTTTTTTGGTTTACAAAAGGGCGGCTATTCCCCTTGTTCCCTTTTTTTGGGCGCTCCGGGGGTTGAAAGAAAAAGCAAGGGGGGACGCTTTGGTTTCAGACACATCCCAATTGGAGGACGAGAAAAGGCCTCAAATTCATACACCCCATGCTCCATTGGAAGTATCGCATGATAAGCCAGGTCAATTGACGCCATGGGCTGAGGACATTCCGACTAAGAAAGGGCCTCTTCCGGATCCTTCTCAAAGTGATAGAAGTTCATCTTGGCCACTGGTAGACAGGTGGGGTCACCAATGTGCAATATCCATCCTGGCTCCAACCCAGGGTGACATACACCTCCTTTGCTGTAGGATGACCTGCCCACAGCTTCACATTCGTCACAAAAGCTTGGTTTAGCTGAGCCATGCCCAATATTGCCGAAACACATGCCATTACCTGTCATCACTCCCCTGCTAGTGGAGGCTTCGCACGCCTTCGCACTCCTGGATCCCTCGTCTTCCTGATACCTCCCCGTTCTCCAACTGGATGAAACGAGGGCGGATTTGCCCTCTAAGGAACGTGGAAGTGCACTGGGCCCTTTTGCACAAGGACACCAGTCTTCCCAAACCGTGTGCGCCAAGCCATGAGTGAGTTCAGCCACAACTTCTGACTCCAGATGGCACTGTCCACACATGTGTATACATATATATATATGTATTATAAGCACTATACTATACTCACTTTCATAGACGAGCTACGGCAGATACTGCATGGTTGAATGGTCGGCTCGTTCTCTACCCTGGACTATACTTTGCACACGCCGCATGGTGTTCCCACCTCATTTCACAGCGACTTCAGCATGCTAGCCCAATGCGTCTGCCCGGTTTTTGCGGTCGCTCGCTTGACTGCGGTCGGGCCACGGACTGGGCGAGCCAGTGGGAGCCGCCGGGCACGCTTGTCATGACGCGGCCCCAGGCACTGGAAAGGCTCGCACAGGGGCCTGAGGCCTAGGCAAGGGAAAAAGGGGGGTTGTTCAAATCATGATTCGCCATATCCAGACCTAGGCCCACAGCAAAAAGTTCATATCCAGACTCATGCCCACTGCGAAAGTTGCACCAAAAAAAAACGGAAAAGCTATATGAAAGCAAGCCAAGCCCGGCTTCTCAGGAGGCTGAGGCCCCTGCTACCAGCGAGCCGAAGCCCAACAAGGCCACCTGCCCCACCGCCCCCAGCAGGGGAGACCGTTGCTGCAGCGCAAGCAGCTCCGGGCCGAAGAAGCCGCGCGTGGCACCCCCCATGATGCCTCGGTTCATTTATTTCCCCCAAAAGAACATCACCCCCACCAAGCGGCACTCACCTTGGGCCAAAAAGGTGATGTTTAAAACCACGCCAAATAAGGACCCATGGCTGCCAGCTGGGATGGATTTTTGCCGCTATGAAAACTGGGGTAGGTGGTGGCCTACCTGGTACTTGTTGTCCATATGATCCAAGAAACCGGCTCCAGGACTTTTTAACAGGGAGTTTGCCAAACCCTGATAGTTGGATGTAGTTGGAGGATTTGTGGCAAATGTCTGCAGAACTTCCTTGAGTTGCTGCCTTGGACCTACACTAGTCGGGCGGCTTTAGAAACGCACTTCCTGAGATTGGCAAAAAACAATCTGAATTTGTTGTTTCCCACTTAGATAGTCTCCCCAAACACTGTCAAGTCCACGGACTCAGGGCATGAATACATGCCCAAGTTTTGGAGATTGGTAATCGGGATGACCAAATAAAACTGTGCCACCTGCTTTCATGTTACCGTATCCCGCAAGCACTTGTGCAGGGGCTTAAGGGGTTATATTATATACCCAATGTGGCTACAGTGGTGGGTGCATACCGCCCGTTTCGTTGGCGAGTGTGGAAAACTGGAAACCTGAGAGCCAAATTGCAGAAAAAAAAAACACCTTGACGACCAAACAACAATTCGATTCTTTGCAGCGCACATTGGAATGAACACAGAAGGCAACTCAAGCAACAGATCAAGAACGGGCAAATCCTCTCACTGCCACCCGCGCCCCAACCAACATACATACCTTGGCTGGATTTGCAACCAGCAGCTTCCCGCTAAGAAGAAACAGCGTGCCCTTGTCGGGCTAGTCCTGTTTCTTGGGGAAGCAGTGTGCAAAAACCAAATGGTAAAGTCAAACGGGGGAAACCACAAACACCTGTAACCTGTGCCAACTACGAATCACATGTTTGATTCTGGTCCATATTTAGTGAACCTTGTGCAACCAGACCAGTGCCTGTCGCAATAGTGGGTAAGCAAGGGAACCCGCCATTCAAATAAAGACACATTCATCCCTGGCTACCCACTATCACCGTACTTCCAATTGGTAGTGGTGTGGATTCGGTTTGGATGTAGCTTCCCATTTGGTCCTCAAAAGGAGCTCAAATCCCTCCACTCCAAACCACCACCTAGGTAGCTACTATGGAAACTGCGCCCTCTCAAACCACCAACTACCTACTTCTAGGTCCTCCAGTAGAGGTTCGAAGAAGGGTACCCCTTTTTTCCTGTACTCTATTTCAAGTAGGGGAATCCTCCCAACCACAAAAGAAAGGGTTCAAAAGGGCACTGGGGGAGCTAGACATTAGCTGCTAGGAGCACTGGGCTGGGAACAAGTCAACTTTCAGGTCCCAAGAGGCCCGAGGTCAAGGGCGAGCCCATGGCGAAGGTATAGTCCGCCTCCGCGTTGGGGAGAACCGAGCCGTCCATTTCCAAGGCCTCCACCGCCTCAGTGACTCAGGTCGAGTTACCAAGCCTTGGGGGAGAAAACGCCGGGATTTGCTGGAGATTTTAACAGGAGCCCCCCTACAACCAGGAAACAAGCGGGCGCGGGGGGGGCGGGGGGTGTCTGAGCTTAAACATGCGCAGTTCTCTGGTGCTTCGGGCGGCATCTGGTTGTTTCAACACATTTTGAAACAAACCCTGCGCCTCAGCTTCCAGGACCACGCCGGCGACAGAAGCTTCGGCCTCCAAGACCTGCGAAACCCGAAACCCAACCCAACGGTTTCAAGCTTCATTGCCAATCTTGGAAGGGTCTCCTTGTTAGGTATTTGGGGGGGGGAACTTGTCTTCCAAGCGGAATTCGAGGAAGCACCCTGGGACCCTCCCCCCGCCCGCCGCCCAGTTCCGTTTTTTAGATGGACGGAATTTTGGCGCACATGGCGGGTGGAGCAACCGCGGTTGCTCCAAACCTCCGATTGTGCACCTTCCAGCTGGAATCGCTCTTGCTCAGGACTAGGCCACTGGCCGTACCATGTCCACTTGTTTCAGTGAACATGTGGTGGAGCCCTTGCAGCCAGCAGACCCAAAAACGTGGGACACACATTCAAAGACCGCCACATGCACCAAGGACCCTTGAAAACCAACAGGTCAATTCTTGTTGGAGATTGGCGCCGCGGGCTTTGGTCAACCCGCTCGGACCCTGAAATCATGCTTTGGTGCCATCGAGTGCTGGGTGCCCCAGATTCTATTCAGTGAAATGGCAAAGCGTGCCCAACGATGAAACCCTTCACCCCCTCCGGGCTGTCAAGTTGGCTTGCCAGTTGGAATGGAGGCTGTCTCTTTGCAGCAGGATGATGGGCTCTGCTCATATTATCTTGTAAAAGTCCCCTGCGTGAGACCCTACAAGGCAAGACGTCCGAACCCCTACGCATAACAGGGGTCAACCCACGCCGGCAATCCACACCGAACTGTCGCACGTCCCCTAACCTCGAACTCCCAGCGGCAGAAAGGTTGCTCTTTAGCAGAAGATGCCAGGGAAAAGCAAAGGAGTTGGCAGTGGGCCTGGCTTTTTTGGCTCCGGAGGCTGTGCCGGACACAATCGGAAGTGGTTTGATTGTGGCTCAGGAATTGGACTGGGCTGATCAATCTTAGGATCCCATCAGACAATTAGGGATGTACAGGGTGCCGAGCAACAAAAAGTATGGGTGGACAAACAGCAGCACCGGGAGAAAACAAAGGACCGAACCCACTTCGTAGTCTTGGTCCTGAATCCTTTCCTGTTTCCCAGTCCCTTTCCAAAGGGGGCCCAAACAGTTCGAATGGCTTTCGGTGGTTTAAAGCCATAGTCCTTCATCATAAGGAGAATAATTTCTGCATTTGTTTTAGCCATTTTCTCTTTCGCGCTGATTTTGAAATGGACCAACGGCCTTGACCGCGAAGATAGCCATGAAGCCCCGTTTCATCATCTTTGGGTCGGACTGTGGACTCTCCTAGGACCAGCCCTCCACCGACGAAGTACCGAAGCCTCCGCGGCCGCCTCTGGGAAGGATGGAATCGACTGCTCCGGAGCCGCCCTGCGGACTGCGGCTGGTTCCGGCCGTGGCTGTTGCTTTGGGCTCGGACGTCCCCAGAAGAACCAACTGGCCTCATTATGTTACCATCATCAAAGTCACCCCAAGTGATGGGGAAAAGGGAAACAACCCCATTTTCTGACTTTGACAACCCCTAGAAAGAAGCAAAATAATGACCCAGACCTATGGTCTCCAAGTGTCCCCTTCTTTCCTGCAACTTCTGATTCCTTTCCGCAAACCTCCCCCCCTCCGTGCTTCTTGTAGTTCAGCCCTGGCACGGGCCTGACACGAGCAAAAACAACACACACACACACACACAAGCACACCTGTACTAACCCCCCTCCCCCCAAACAAAAGAAACACGAAAAAAAAAGTCACTAAGCATGACTCAATGGCAAATATCAATACTTTGAACCGGCAATATTATTGGTCAGCATCAGACTTGCTTGTTCACCAATTGGGTACTGGGAACGGCCCCTTCTGACCATACGTGTATCGAAATGTACCCGTGTAGGGAGGAAGGCTCATTTCTACATTTTCAATTGAGATCAAGCCAACTCACCCGTGCAAACAAAGCAACTGCTAAGTTGCTCTTGTCTTGAGGCTCAGTACTCTGCTGGGTTTGTTTCAAAGGAAGATGAAGGGAAACCAAAGAGAAAGCACTGGTTTTATGGGTTCACTGTGATTCCCCTTTGAATGTCTCTGTCACATCGCCAGCCCAAGCCAAGCGTCAGAACCGCGAAACCCGTTCTTCCTTCATGTCTAAGAGAAACGGCTGTGGGTCAAAAATAGGTATCCAAAATGGTTCCCTGGTAAGTGGCAACATGGACCAAAACCTGTGGTCCCCCGGTGGTTGAATTTTGACCCACACCCAAACAAAAACGGAACCTCAAAGCTTTGAGGAGGGTTTCAGTAGACAAAGCACTCCCGGCTATTCTCCATCCCTCAAAGAAGCTTCGAGCCCAACGAGTCTCCGCGAAGACACTCACCACCCTGAAATGTCCAGTTGCCCAGGGGCCTAGAAGGGTTCCCTTTTTGGGAAGAATCCCATGCTTCGCAGGAAACCTCCAACAAAAGGAGGGAAAACGGATGTACGTATATCTGCAGGGTCCCGACTAAAGCACCCGTAAACTCAGAGATCGCATGCAGCCTTGTTCATACCTTGAGCTGGCCCCATTATTTAACCGTGATCCAAGTCACCCCATAAGTGGTGGGTTAAAGAGAAAGGGTTTTATTTTCTGACTTTGATACAGTACCCCCCACCCAGAAACAGCCAAAATTATGACCTCCCAATTTTCCCCCCATTTTTTGAGCCTCCAAATGTTGATCCAATTTTTCCCCTGGCCTCAGCCAGGGCAGGCGCGAAGCGACCGCGCTGAGCGTCCGGGGCGCATGGCGCTCCAAGGCGTTCATCGCCGCGACCGCCGCTTCCACCGCCATGGCGTTCGATTTCCCAGAGGTGCTCAGGGCGGGCGGCTGGGCCAGTCGAGGCTTGCGGAATCCACCGGCAAAACACGCAAAACACTCGCTTGCTCAGTGGATTGGCCAGAAAAAGGCGGAACTGTCTCAGTGGATTGGCGAAAACGAGTCGGAACTGTTCATTGACATCTTTTTCAAACTTAAAAGGGAATCGTCCTAAAATCCATATAAAGGCAAACTGTGGACCTTAGGGAGGGCCCAGTGAACCTTCAACCCAGCTGTCACCCCTGGCCCAGACCATCCCAAAGAACCTCGACCCTTCCCTCCCAAAAATATCTAAAACACAAAAAAAACGACTGCCTTCCCTCTCCCCCGCCCCAAACAACAAATGGCCACTTCACATCAGGAGGCCTTAGCGGTTTTCTGACCCTTGGCGTCAGGCTTGGCCCGGGTCAGCCGCGGCTGCGGCGACCTGAGACGAACAGGGTAACCAAAGCACATCGCAGGACCCCCCTCCCCAAACTTGGACGGTGCTCCAATCAATCCGGGCACCAAAGAAACAGCATTGACTCACGAACAGGAGCAAAGAAGATGAAGGGATCTATGTCATATGATCGCAAGTTGACCGGAGGATCTTTGGACAGCTCTGGCAGGTTGACAGGCAAGGACCTCTTTCTTCCATTTTAGTTTCCAAGGAGCGAACTTGTTGATCTAGAAATGATGGCGGTGAACCAGGCGCATCTTGCTGTGGCTCCAAGGGAAGGAACAACGACGTGGGCTATTTATCCTTGAGCTGCACAAAGGGTAGCTCAAAAAAGAGACACCATCCAGAAATGGGTTCCCATATGCTCCCATGCACTGGATGATTGAGCACCAAACTATCGGCATATGTTACACTGATTCCAACGCCTAACATCTATCCCAAGCAAGGACCCTGATGGGTTTTTGCTCGATTTACCCAGTGGAATGGCTCGACGTGAAAGTGCAAAATGCAACTATAGTGCCTGAAGGGCGCCGATGCCGACAATCAAACCCCCGCTGGATGAAGAGAAGGGAAGAGCCCCAGCCAAAAATAGGTCCAGCCCTTTTAAAGCTCTTTACATGGTTTTGAGTAGAGCGTTTTAATACCAGGCTTTGATTATGACTTGGTTGAGCAGCATTGGCCACTGGTTCTACCGGCTGAAGGGGTTAATAGTGGGTTCTTGGCTGAACCACTTTGAAAGCCCAGTTGGGTATGTATCAAAACGGGTGCCCAAGTTCCCTTCTGGCGGGGAACATCATCTCTTTGTTTCTTTCCCATTTCAGGTGAGTTTGCCAGGGGGTGACGTTTTAAGGGAAATAATACAGAGACCCCAGTCAAAACAGGGGAAACAAGAACATTCGGTGCTCCTTGTGGGTTTGCTCCATATTCATGGGAACCGGGGTTCTCATAAACGCGTTCCTGCGTGCACCAAAGGACAAGCACGTGCGGAGCATCCTAGAACCCGTTTGTTAGAACCTATTCTGATATCATATCAGTGTGAGTTTATATCGGGGACCCTTTGCTGGACATCATTCACATGGTGATTTACGTCCACCGACCGTTTTTTAGCCAGTTCCATCATGTTCCATCCCAGTTGTTCTGCGGACCCCCTCCCATTCTTCTGTGTGGGTTTGGGACCCACTCAAAATGGTCCACCTCCCCAACAAAGGGGTCCCTTTTTCGTCAGAGGACCTGATCTACCAGTGGGACCCCAGTTTCGGGGTTGATGCAAAGGGAGCACCCGGTTGATTCCGTTGGGCTCCGGCCACTGTTCGTTTGGAACGCCAAAGTCCGCCAAAGGGCACGTACTTCGCCTGCGTCTTTGGCAGCAGCTTCCGCAGCTGCTCCTCCGAGAAGCGCTGCAGAAGTTCCTCGCGCGGTCTGACGCGGTCTTGGGATTTTTCCGCCTAACGCAGATGCCGAAAAAGGGGCCCTACTGTGGATGGACGAAATCCTGCACCACCTAACAGACTCTGGAATGATGATTCCCCTGCAAATACCAGCAAATAATGGTTTCCCATGGTATCAAGGTGGTGCAGGATTTCGTCCATCTACAGTAGGTTTGACAACCCCCGCCCCAAAGTGGGTGCCGTAAGGTGAACATGTTGAGGGGTTCTAGAAACGTATGTGTTGGGTGTTGGATTTTACGTATTCACCATTCAGGGGGTAATTTTAGAATCAGGTTTGGATGCGGCCTTGTGGAGGACACAAGAGAGGAGTAAAAGGGTACCAAAAGGACCAAAGAGACGAACAGGTGGAATACTCCTGATGGCTGGTTTCACGAATACAACGATGCACATGATGTCACCCGAAGGCCTAACCAATTCAACATTTTGAACATATAATCGAATTGAGGCTTGCTCAAACGGGAGAGGTTTAAATTTTGGATCAATAAGGTGCACCCTCAAGCTGTTCCCCTCAGGGAAAGGCTTCATCTTTGAACAACCCTCGAACTTTGCCTCCTACAGGCCATGGGGTTCCTCTTCAGGGAATCTGACCGTGGAATATACGTAAAACAAGGTATGGTATGAACCCCTAGTTTCAAAGTCGTTGGCAAAGTCATGGCCGGTTGATGGACAAAAATGCAACTCTTCCAAAAAGAGGAGGGTTGAAGATCCCCCCGTAACAATTAGTCAAACAAAATATGGGATTGGATGAGAATGGCAGGATTGATGTTTGTTGAGACAATACGTGGTAGGGGTCCTGCTATATCTTGCAACTCCTGCAAAAAGTGGACATAGTATCATAGGAGGAAACAACAATAAGACTGGACAACCGGATTGGTCTTTCGCCACCCGGAGAAAAATCAAAAAGAGTCTGCAGATCGGCGGAAACTCCATCCCCTGGACCTCAACGGCAATTTCGAACAAGGTGTATCATCCCAAACGGGGTAAACGGTTCTCCAGGCTTCCGGTACCCCCGAGCGACCATGTGGAAAACAACAGCTTGCCTTTTGATAGTGACTACGCACCCAATTTCCTTTCTTGGGGTACTTCATGGCTTTACTTGATCCCTTTCTAAAGGTGTATAACCTTTGGTGCTTTTTCGTGGGATATGGCTGTGGCTCAAAAAAGCCGGTACCAAAATGGAACCCTGGTAAGTGGAAAAATGGACCAAAACCTGCGGTCTGCCCCTCCTCTTTAATTTTGAGCCACACCCATATGTGGACATGTCAAGGATCCTCGACTCTGCAAGTCTCAAAGCATGAGGAACCCCAAACGGCAGTCGCAAGCCATGGATCCACGGCTTCGAAGCTGAAATCCCCGGCCTTCGGCTTCAATCGTCGCACATCAAACGCGCCGGCCTCTGCCTTTGCGCGGGCTTTAGGTTGGGCGATTCTGCGGAATCACCCAACCCCAAATGCACCCTATGAATAGATATGAGCATGTAGGGGGTGGATTTTTTTTTTCGAAACACCGGGATATTTATCATTTGGGAAAATATGTGTGGAGCTGTTTTCATAAGTTGTTTGATGCCTCCACTCCCGCATTACTTTTGGGGTCCTCTTGTTTCGCAAATTGCGGCCAGCAACGAATTTTCGAGGGCAAAGTCAACTGCACAACTGGGCTTGCTTAAACATCCTCCACATGGGCTCCCTTTAACAGTGCGCCATGGCCTGGTGGTTTTTCACAAGCTTTGCAACCAACCCGGTTGTTAGGCCCCCCTCATTTTCCAAATCCCGATTCCCCCGTAAGGTTTCTCAAAGGATGGGGCGCACTTTGCTTCATCCCGCTTCCTGGGCCGAAACAAGTCCAAACATGAGCTGCTTGCCGAAATGTGTCTTTCCCAGAAAACATCTTAGGAGCTCGCGGAGCGAGACATGTTCACCTCTGAATTCAGGAATTCCAAGGTAAGGCCCTAAGGCACCCTCGTCATGGGTGAGCTTGATGTACCCCCCCAAAAGAAAACAAGCTTAAGTTGCTGTGTTGAGGTTTGGCGCTTGAAAGGCTGCATATAAACGTATGCCCATACACATATTTATGTATGTATGTATATATATATATACATGCATGTGTTGTATGGCACAGAAGGGTTGCTTGCCGCACGAGTCCTCTGGTGATTCTGGGATTTCTAGTGAGTTCCCCTATGTCCCTCCCATGGGCCATAGACCAGGTAATTTCCACTACACCTCTTACACTGTGGGTGGACAAGTCCCACTTCGCACCAGTTGGGCTGGCGGACAACCTGTGAATACTGGGATACACCACCAACCAAGTGGTGCGAAGTGGATTTTAAGTCCATCCACGTGTACGTGCAACCTATGTATACATATATACAACATATATACGGGTATGTACATATATCAAAGAAGCCAAACGCAGGTTCTGGTCGATCCTCGCATATTATGCAACATCACGCGGTAGGCTTCTTTGCACATTCCGGCGTGGCGCGTCCGACGCCAGCGGCTGGTTGGCCAACTGCGGAAGCAACCGGCGGTCCGGGCGCTCGGGGTCCTGCAAAGGACTAAAACCTTCCATTTGCTCAAGCCCCCTGGAAAAAATACAAATATGTCCAGTAGTGATCAATCCTTTTAAAACCAACAGGGAAAATAAATAAAATATTCTTAAACAAATGGAAGAAACGGGGAAGTCTCTGGACTCAGATTCCATCTTGGGTGCTGAAGAGGGGGTCTTGGTTACTGCAACGACTCCCCTGCACAAAGTTTTTCACTTTTTGGTGGTTTAGTGAAACAATTGAAAAGCCCAAGGTTAAAGTCTAAAGATCCAACCCAGTAGCAGTCAAGGGGTCTGGACAGATTCGCAAATTGCACATCCCCTGTTGCGTTCCCGGGTAGATCAAGCATTATCTATTTAACTAAGACAGGTTTTGACCAGGGAAGCAAGTAGCCTTGAAGGGGCTCGATTGCAACTGTGGGAACAAACTTGCCGGTCGGAATTTCAAGGGTTGGGGGAAGGAACCGGAAGGCGATCGTCTGAAAGGAAATCGCCAGATGTTTGAGGTCGGAGTGATTCGCACCATGCCATTCAGGTATGCATTCTGGTTTGAACACTCTCCATGGGCACTCCCAACATAAGCTGCCCAAAGGCCTAGTGGAATGCGTCGTGTCGTGTAGGGATTTGTTTCCCCAATTCCCCTGGACACATTCCCAGGTCACATCTGTCCAAACGTTGCTGGAAGCCGTGGACAATAACCAACAAATATACCTTGGGGACGACAAACAACCGCCTTTGCACAACATCGAGCCAATCAGCTCCTAGGTTTTAGAAACTGAGGTGCAGCTTGCAAAAGAGCCAATAAAAGCTAAAGCCCTCCCTCTCCCCAATCGTTGCTTCCCGACAGAACCAACCCCCAAAAAAAACAGAATCCAGTACTTCCCACTGCCTTCCTGGCTGTCTCTTTCTTTCTCGCTCTCTGCCTCTCTATCTCTCTCTCTCTCTCTTTCTTTTTTGTCTCTCTCTCTCTCTCTCTCGCTCTCTTTCTTTTCTCGCTCTCTCTCTGTCTCTCGCTCTCTCTCGCCAGCTTTCTCTCTCTCTCTCTCTCTCTCTCTTGTCTCTCTCTCTCTCTCTATCTCTCTGTTTCTCTCTCTCTCTCTCTCTGCCGAACGTCCCTGTAAATAAAAAAAAACACCCACATTGTGAAAGAACCACCTTCCTGCGTCTTTGTGTGAACCTGCAGGGAGTACGCCCACTTGCCTCGCCCCCCACCTGCGAAGCACCTCTGCCCCTTAAGCCGCGTCTGCGGCACTTGAGGAATATGGCCATGGGTCAAAATTTCGACTAAAATGGGTGGTGAATTCATCTATGCCAAAACAGTACCATTGGTTTTGAACCATGGCCATATCCTTTTGGGGCGCCATGCGCCAATTCCGTGGTCACTTGCCTTACTTCCCAAGTGGGCTGGTCAACAAACCGTCCAACATGTTGTTCAAAGCAAGTCAAGGATCTCAGCATGTTGCAGGTAGTCGCCGGAACAGCTCTCACGGCCTTGTAACCCTGTTTTCTGTTCGAACCACTTCTTTTAACTCCAACATTTAGTTTTGTAGGGGAAACTCAGCAAATACGTGGCTCTGGCTGACACCTCCTGAGTGGATTGGCCACAACAAAACCGCCCAAACTTTCTGCTTTGCCACCAACATTTGGTCCACAAGAAGTGACTCAAGTCGTGATTCATATCCAACTCCAGAAGCCAATTCTTCCATTTGCAGTTTCGCCCCACGGAAAACATGAGAACATAGCTCCAGCCGTGCAATCGATTCCAACTCTAAAAACCAAAGGACCATAGCTCCACACATCGGTCATTTCAGGCACTGGAACTTGACATTTCACGACTTGCCTGGCCATTTTGGGTCACCTTCCCTTCCTACCAGTTGGCTCGCCCCCCTTTTCCTGGCCTGGAGCCTGGCGCCTTTTTGGGTCGGTCACCTTCCCTAGGTCCTCCAGTAGAGAGGATAGCCTAAGGCTACCAACTTTTTTCGGGTTTAGTTCATTTTACGAGGGGAACCCTCCCCACAAAAGAAAGGGGAGAGAAGGGGACCCAGTCCCCTTTTCCCCGCCGGCCGGGTTTCTGGTGGTCGGCTGGCGGTTCCGAACCGCGGGGTCGCGCGGGAACGCGCCTCCCGGTGGAGCTTGCCGCGGGTCACCCCGGCGGTGGCGCGGCTCGCCACCCCCGCCACGCAGGCCGCCAGCAGCGCCACCCCCGCCCGTGGCGAGGCCCAGGCCGCCGGCGCCTCAAGCGAAAGGCGAAAGCCAGGTACACGGGCCACGCGTTCGCCCAAGCGGAAGCTGCGGAGTTGAGTAAAAACCCAAGGTATGTTGTTATATATATATATATAAACATGGAGCGATGTGTGTTTGGTCATGTTTTTTTTTTCTGTTTTCTTAAGCAAAAGCATAGTACTCATGCTGCAACACAATGCCTAGTGGGTCTTTCTCTAGCTGGTGGATGTATTGGCTGGCCTTGCAGAGAATCTCAGGGAAACAACGCAACTTAGGGGTTCCCGTGGGTAAGCCCCATGGTTGTGGAAACTCTTGGAACTGCCAACCAACTTTCTGTGGTTCCATTGGGTTTTTGGGAACCCCCAGTAAGTGACAAAAAACATGTGGGTATGGCTCAAAATTAAAGAGCAGGGGTTACGCGCTTTTAGTCTTTGGTTCCATTTGCCAAGGAGCCATTTTGGTACCACTTTTTTGAGCCACAGCCATGTCCACCCCTGGTCCGTTCAAGCAAAAGCGGTTGAGGCCGCTGCCTTGCAGACCATGAGCGCAATGCGCTCCCACCTGGCGGAAGTGCATGGGGCAAAGCATACGCGTGGAGAACAGCTGCCACCTGATTGCCCTTGGGCCAATGCAAACGACGCGTGGTCGAGGAAAAGAGGCCGAAACAAGATACTACATTCGTATGGTGAGGCTCTTAACTTTTCGGAAAGAATAGAACGCTAATAATCAATCCAAGGGCGTTCAAGCAAAGCACGGGACCCAAGATGCCTAGTATCACTACAGTGAACAGCATACACACTGCCTTCTTGCCACACCCCTTTTTTGGAACGTGACTCCTCAAATGGGGGTGTCAGAACAGGGTTCCTGGGAAGAAAGTGGCAGATCGAGAGGGTGGTGGAATTGTGCTTCATTCCATGGTTACATTGAATGCTCTCCTAAATTGCCCATAAACTGGTGGTGGTGAACAGGGCACAAAAACTTGAGGCCTTGTAGTGGCTGCTTTGCGAAAAGCAATCGTTGGGGCAGTTGGGGTTTGGGGGGATCTAATAAACTAGTCCAAGCCTATAATATGGACCCAACAAAGCAGCATTCAGAACTAAACGTGTAGGAGCCCGCAAAGCAAGGCCCCTCCAAAGCTGATTCCTCCAATATTAAGATAACTGAAGGAGTTCGATCTAGTTGTATAGCTTTCATGCTTATGGGTGCCCACAAGAGACCACGATGCTTATAGGTTTCATGCTTACAAGCTTCAAAACTCGTTGGCCGGAATAGATTTGCGAGTATCTATAGAGACTTCATATTCTGGACCCGAAAAAAGAAGACCCCCTTTTCGACCCGGTGCAGGTGAGCTTCCCTTGGCACCAGCCTTACCTCTCAAGGGAAGCCTTCCGAACTCGGCCCCACTTTGACTCCCAAGCAAGGGCTCAACATCAGCTTCACATTCCTGAACATATGCCCCAGCCTTTGATTGGGTGTTCCAAAGCTGGAAGGGAACGGACTGCCACCCAAAACCTTCATTATCTGAAGTCCCCTGGAAAAAAATCCCCTAGTAGTAGAGTCCCTTTAAAACCAACAGGAAAAACACAATATATTATTAAGTAAATGAGAGAAAAGCTGGGCGATTTTTTTCAGAAACCGAAAAAACCGCGCGATTTTGCGACGCGAAAGCGACGCCTGGCGCCCAGCTCCCAGCTCTGAGGGAAGAGCTGGAGGCAGGCCTGCGACCGAAGTCGAGCCGCGCATCGGGCGCAGGGGGCCGACCGAGGAAAAAAAACAAAAAAACGAACCCAACTCGAGCTGTTCGCCCAAAAAAAGGTCCAGACCCTAGAAGTAGACTCACTTATGAGGTTGTGCTTGTGGTGGTGGGTACATTTCTGGTGGTAGTGTCAGGTATTCATAGCAGTGGTGGTCTGCACCATATGCCATACCCTTAGACTGTAAGTTGTACTTTTGGACTCTGGAAAGTGATACATGACATATCCCACCAAAAGTTCAACTTGCAAAGGATGAACATAGTTGCTCCTTGTTGTTTGGGCTCGGGGCCCATTCAAAATGAAATCAACAAACAAATAATGGCTCCATTTTTTTGTGTACCAGTTGTCCGGACAACGGGTTGCGTTGGACAAAGCCACGCCCAAGTCCCCGGTTTAGCCATCGCCTTTACAAGATCCCAACTATTTGGGGGGATCTTGTGGCATCTACTCCCTGAGTTCTTAGACATGAGTCACTTGGGTTTGGACCACTTGGTAAACAACCAGTTTGGTTGGTTGTTTTGGCCCACCCACTCTACTCTAAACCGATTCTGACAATTCTGTCCTTTTACTCAGAAGAGAAGGCACGCAGTCGCTTGGGACTGTTCCAACTAGTTGTTTCCCTCTGAACCTTCGGCCGAGCAAACATGCCATTAGATCCCTATGGCTTCCGGGTTTGACAACCTCCCCAATCACCTTCAGCCCCGCACGAATGCTTTAAAGGACCAAATCGAAGTTGACCAGGATCCAGGATGCGGCTCCGCGAGTCGCGGCCCCTTCGATGTCCCACCAATTCGCTTTGGACAACTGAGTTGGTGACCCGCCTTACCAATCGAATGGGCAACCGGTGCCTCTGGGAGGTAAATTCGCTGTGCCTCGTTCCCTTCACGCTAAAATGGGACTATATCATTAAATGTAAGTAGAGGGCCAGATCGGGAGGGTCTAGATCGGGATGGTTTAAGACAACCCCAGAAATCTCTTTTGTGCGTGTGTAAGTGTTTTGCAAAATAATTCATATATTTGCAGATTTAATTCATATATTTGTGCAAATGTATGGTTTGAGCACAGTGTAGCTTCTTGATCTATGCCGGCAATGACGCGCACAATGTGAGTGAGCTCATGACACACTGTGAATCTGAAGTCTGTTCAAGGTCATGTCAAGTGCATCAGAAAGCATGGCAGTGTAGAAACAATCAATTTGGCATGTCTCACAACACTACTTTAAAGGCAGGTTAAAGGCAGGGGCAATGTGGTTAGCCCCGAAAATCGATCGCAAACAATCTCAAAAACTGCATTGTGTCTTTGGATTTTTTGTTTATCTCAAAATAAATATTATTATCTCAAACAAAAACTCGGGACTAATATAGTGCAATAGTACTTTAAAGGCAGTGTCAATTTTGGAAACCCCGAAACTATATCTCAAAAATCTCAAAAAACTCAAAAGAACTCAAAAAAACTCAAAACAACTCAAAACACTCTCCAAACATCTCGAACGCTCTCATTTAGCTCAAGCAAAACGAGTGTCCCGTATCTCCTGGATTTGTGGTCAGGAAGCAGCAACACTACAGAACAGTAGGTCCCAATTCGCGCGGTCAAACCAATTTGTTTAGTCAAACTGGGGTGAGCTGATGCTCAAGCGTTGGGACAATCTGGAGCAACACGAGAGGCGGAGGCGAATATATATATATATATACACATATATATATATACACATATATATGAGTGGCACTCGAATCGTACTGGAAAGTGAGCTGGAACCGATAGCTAGCAAAATAACAAGCAGTCAGCGGAATAGCTGGAGTACAACACCAATTGGCGGAATATAGCTATAAAAGATGATGATTCAAGTAAAAGACGCTAGGCACTTACCGTATGAACATAATGATTGACTTGAGAAGAATATATTATCTCTTCTTTCTTAGGTAAATGACAATATATTTGCATAAATATGTTGTCAATGAGAAAAATCGTGTTTGGAACACCTCCTGATCTAAACCCTACTGATCTGAGCCTGAAATTCCGGTCAATGACTATAAATACTGTCAGGGGTCACCTCAGTCCACAATTCCACTTTTTAGGGCTGGGCATGTTCCAGTTGCTCGCATTCTATGTAGTTCAAAAGCTGTGGGGGGTCTGAACACATCAAGCAATATTCCACCCTGGGCTGATTCTTGGGGGGAAGGTTCAGGACAATGATGCTTAGCATGGAGTGTTTCAAGATGGACCCACCTGGAAAACTGAAATTGGCCAACGGATGCTGTCGAACTGCATGCAAATGTCCTCAGCAAACCCTTGCCCGATGCGAGTGGCGCACTTGTTGCGCACCAGAAAGCAAAGAATAGTGTATAATTATTTGACCCTGAGTGTAACAGTTAAGCTCTTTGCTAACTAGTAGGAAAACAATCATTTTTTTCAGAAAAGCAACCAAGAACAGGCGCAAAAACCCCAAAGCGCCCCAACTGGCCCCAACACATTGGTGTCAGGGGATTGGTGACACGGTGTCTTGCAATGTTCTCAGAAACTCGCTTCGCACGCGCAGGAGCGATCCATCCAGCCTGGCAAATGCGGCCCTGCGGGGGCGTGTAGTCCAAGTGCAGCCACTGCTTTCCATAGAAGCTCGAGCCTAGGCTGTGCAAATAAGTTGGGCTGCTCCACAAACCCTGTTCAGGGGACCCTAAACCGGTTCTAATTAACAGGTTCCAGTTTGCTTCAAAGGACAATCCTGCGCGTAGCTTCCTAGAACATTTGCTAAAACTCATTGAGGGTCACCAAATTTCTGTCAGAAGGGTAACCAATAGCTGGCACGCTTCAAGAGGGCTTGGGTGCTAGTTTTCTCTCATATGTACTGTATTAGGGGGGCCCTTCTGCCAATTAGCTCAGGTCAACAATGATACGGAATTCTTGGTGTTGGTTCCACCTTGACCATGCCGCGTAGCTACACTCTTGGCTGACATGGAACCCAAGCCGCCATGTTGTTGGGAAGGAACCTCCTTTGAGGGTGACGAGTTTGTTGGTTTCAATGCACAAGTACAAGGCAGAACCGACTGCTGGTTTCAACCAACTGTCGCATGTGCTTGGTCGCTGCCCCAAAGGGCTAACATTTTGGTGTGTGACAAAACAGGGGAGCCGCAAAATGGCGGGTTCCCGTTGAACCTCATAAAGGATACCTAGTCTCCAACAACATGTATCTGTATACGGGACAGACAGATAGACAGACAGACAAAGAAACAGACAGACAAACAAACAGACAAACATGCAGGCAGACAGGCAGGCAGCCAGAACACACACACACACACGCCAAGACACAAACGCCACATACACACACAAACACACATGCACACTTGTTTGGGCTCTTTGGACAGCTGAGGGGACGATGTCTGCTTGCAATTCTGCTTTCAAGGCATTACAGCCTTTTTCACCCCGGGTGAATGTGCAACTCAAAGTAGTGACCAAACCGCAATGGCAATCACATGGTATTGGGCAGTGCTTTGCATTCCCAGGGGCTAATCTTCACTGACTGACTATCGAATCCACGCAAGCGGGTGGATTGTAACATTTCTCTGGCCATAAAAACACGCACATAATTATTCAACTGTTGAGGTTGTGAGCAGGGAAATGGCTGCATCTGTTTCGTAAAATGAGATGCACGAGTCACCTGTGACTGAGAGTCACCAATCATGACAGTCATGAAGCAAAAACAACTTGATAAAACCCGGCCGCATTTGTTTGGGACACTTGGCCCAAGTGCTTTCTGCCGAAGTTCTTTCTGCTATGACTCGTCGCAAACTGTGCTTTGTTTTCAGCTACGCTTTCACCCGTGAGGGAAACCACAAGGGATCCCCTTATTTTAGCACATATCCGAATTAGACACCACGGTCTCAGGGAAGGCCAGAGGTCGAAACACAAGTTTGGAACACGGAATCTGACTGTAAGACGCGCCCATCCTGCAGCTAATGACATGCCAACTACTTCCAACTGGTCAGGTGCCCCCTTGAACGGACAAAACAAAACAACAGCAAAGTTCACTCAAGGGTGTGGTTCAAGGTCACAATGGATTGTCTGTGAATTTGCGTGCACTCTGGGAATCAATATGCTTCTCTAGGACTCTAGGCGCCATCGCGGGGCTCTTCTTACTTGCGAGTGGGCTCCAAAAGTCACATTGCGTCGCAACATCCGCGAACGCAAGTTCGAATTACGACTCTCCAACAGCGTGTGACTACCACATGCTGCTTGTCTAAATTTCGCAGGAAAGACATGCCCTTGCCAAAGTTGCTTGAATTATTGTTGCGAATCATCGTGCTGTGGCTTGTTTTCTGCCAATCCTTTTGGACCACCGGAGTGGAACTCGGCGCAAGGCCCCATAGAAGATGTGCTCAGGGAACATGACAAAAAGATACATGGAAGTGCACAGAACACTTCTAGAAAATTACTTTTGTACTTCTCTGTTTGCTGCCGGGAGGCGGGAGGGAGTGGTTTTTCAGCTTGGGGAATGGTTGGAGCAGGCGTTTCACGTTTGGGAGATGTGCGCAGCCCGTCCGCAAAGCGCATCCGCCATCCACCGCCCCTCCCGTTTGAACTCGCGTTCAAGAAGATGCGTTCCAGCCCTGCGAGCAGCTCTTGCCAAAAGAACTGGACCATGTAATCTAAGCTTTCAGAACTCTGACTGAGAATGCGCAAACATGGGAAATAGTATGGATGGAAGAATGGACAAAGTAGTCGATCTCCAAATTCCAAACAATGCAAACGGCTAGGTCGATGTGCCTTGGGCAACCGGGCCACCCCATCCCCTCTCTTGCGACGTGGTGCTACAAGGCGGCGCGAGTGCCACGACATCTACCGAGCCAACCAGGGGGCTGCCTGGCATGGGCAGTCATGCAGTTCCATTTGCTAATGCCGTGATGTGCAACTACGAATGTCGCCCGGTTAGGTACCAACCAAACACAAATAAAGCATTTTTTGATTCCCCACTCCCAAAAGGAGAAGGGAAAGGTTAATCAACGGGTACCAAACAAAAAACACAAAAACAAATAATGCAATTCTAATTCCCCACTGCCGAAAGGAAACGGGAAACCTAGAATGATACGCTTCTCGTTGTCCGAAAGCAATCCCGGGACTTAGTCGGTTAAACAACAGGTCAGGATTTGTTGTCCGGGGTTTTGTTGTCCGGACCAAACACTACATAAGTAAAAATCAAACACAAGGTACGCAATTGAGAAACAGCCTTCCCGCCCTGAGCCCGTTTCAATTCATATCTCTCTTCTTGTTTACTAGCCCTTGCTTCTGAGCACTGAGCAAGTCAGAAGATCTCTGCACACAACGCATCCCCCAGACTACCGATTTCCTTTCATATCCTTCTTGAAAAAGTGTTCAGCCAACAACTGTCCTAAGGGGTAGCGCAGCGCCAACAAACTTTTGGAATCTGACCCGCAAACGTTTTTACCGGGGTTTCGTCTGTAGGGTCCCCCTATTGTTTTTGGGGGGTTTTGGCCCTTGTCCCAAGTTTCTCAGGATATCCTTGAAGTACCTTCGTCAACCCAAAAGAAAGAACCAGGCGTTGTCCCGTCAGTATCCAATCCTTGCCTCCCGGCAAGTCGAACAGCTGCTCGAAAAGCCGGGATACCTGTCAAGTCGAGCTGAAGCCTTCACCCACTGCCTGGACTGGGTAAACAGGTCTGGAAAATGTTGGCTGGGTTTGCTGCTTTTATCTTTATGTTTGTTCTCATGCGCTTCATGTTTTCTCATGTGCAAATGTTGACAGTCGTGTTTTATGGTAGGCACTAATTCGATGAAAGACGAGGGGAAAGGAGACGACAGGGCCAAACCCGGCCACTGGAATCCAGTGATAATATGAGAAACAAACATGGCGTCCAAATGTAATGTAGCCAATGTTCTTTGTTTTCTGATACACTGCGTCAGTGTTTGTGCCAGTGCATGTAAGGAATGACGAAGATTCTGCTGGCGACCCCCCCCCAACCGCCGCCCGCCACCGGTGACCCCCACCAGCCACTCGCAGCGTCCCCTCAAAGGACAACAATATTGAGGAGCTGTCTGGGTCTGAGTCGTTCGCGGATATCACGGTGAAGTTTTGGTCTGGTGCCGCTGATCACCGGTGCGGAACATGGCGGAGCAGCTTTGATGCGAGCTGATGCGAGCTGCACGTCTTTGCGGACTTTGCGCCATTGCTGGATGAAGCTCCATGCTGGCGGAATGTCTCCGCCGCCTTCCGGTTTCGTCCCATGTCTTTCGTCCCATGTCCACTGACAAAAGCGGGCTTTTGAAAACCTGAGATTTTGAATCACTCAAGATGCTGCAGGGGTCGCCCAATATTTGCGCTACTTCGACAGTTCCGGGCATCAATCGCCACCATCGCAAATATCGCATGGGCCAGCCAGATTGATGCCGAACACTGAGAGTGCGAGCGGGCCAGGTGCCCCAAGGCCACAACACCAAAAGAGAGATCACAGCAAGCAGCAAGAAGGCGGCTGAGAAAAACAAAGAGTTGGCTACTTCCAGTTGCGCAGGATTTCCAAGGGTGTGCGCAAGCTTTCCGCAAAATGGCCTGATATGTTGCATTCGCCAAAGAACCCTCTCCAAAAGACCTGCAAATCCGCCGACATTGCCCGGTGCGTCGGACACCGAAGAGAGGATAGGGATAACCCCCCCCCTAACCTTTCCCCCGCCCGACGTCTGATACGTGGGGTACAGGGGAGGGGGGGTCCCCCACGTACCGCGCGGTAATTTGATGACGTTCCACTAAACGTAGCCTTCGGTGTCTGCAAAACAGGGCTCCCAGGCTCGTTCCCCCTGCCGGCTCTTTGCTGGTTTGGGGTTCCTGCTTCCTTTTGCCGAAAATCTGGAAAAACTCTGTGTTTTTGGACGTCCTCTTTGCGAATACACTGGAAAAACCGTGTTTTTGGCGGGAAATACTGGGGAGCAAAGGGGAAATGCAAGGAAGTGCAAGGAAATGAGGGGAGGAAATAGGAAGTCGACATGACAGGAAAGCAACGGGAAATGAAAGGGAAACAAAGGGGAACTGAAAGGGACATGAAAGGGACAGAAATGAAAACAAGGGGAGTGCAGGGGGAATGAAAGGGAAACAAAGCACAAGGAAACCAATCGGCACGACGGGAGATGTAGGGAAATGACTCGCAACGAAAGAACGGGACATACATGAAAAATGAAGCGGACATACCGAGAAAATGTCAGGAACATGAAGGGGGAGTTGAAAGGAATGGGAGGGACATGACCAGGACATCATGGGAAACGTGAAAAGGACATGAAGGGGAAATCAAGGGGAAAGCCAGTAGTGAGATGACAGTTCAGGGTCATGAAGGGGCAGTGCCCGGACATCGAGGCAATCAGGGGGGACGTGACGCTGCAATGAGAGAGAGAGAGAGAGAGACAGAGACAGAGCCAGAGTCAGAGAAAGAGACAGAGAAAGAGATAGAGAGAGAGAGAGAGACAGAGACAGAGCCAGAGTCAGAGAAAGAGACAGAGAAAGAGATAGAGAGAGAGAGAGAGAGAGACAGAGAAAGAGAGACACAGACAGACAGAGAGAGAGAGAGAGAGACGGAGAGAAAGAGCGAGAAAGAGAGAGAGAGAGAGAGAGAGACAAGGTCTTCCAGTAGAGAGGTTAGAATTAGGGTACCCTTTTTCTGTAGAGGGGCGTGGACAGAGAGAGGGAGATTGAGGCGAGAGAGGCTTGGGGGGATGGGGAGGATGGGGAGCAGAGGGAGAGAGGACGACAGAACACACGAGGGAGACAAGGGAGACAGGAAGAAGGAGAAAAGGGAGAGGACAATGTCGGCGGACTGAGCCGGAGGCTCTAAAGTTTAAGATCAACCTTTGAGTAACTTTGACCCAGCAAAGGACACGTCAACATCCAAAGGTCGGCTTTGGGCAAACAAACATCCCATTACGTACCCAAATGTAACCATTATGTAAACACTCCGGGTGTAGCTTTATTCACTATCATGGAACGTTCAATGTGCTCCTTGTAGCCAGTCCATGCTGTAACCACTACCGGTGTCGCCGACTCCATATCCGGACACTTGCATAGGCCGACAACAATTTGTAATGCCCGGCCAACCAATTTGAATATCCGATTAAAAATCAGTAACGTGCGCAATTTCTGGGAAGGTTGCGCTCGAGCCGGCTCGCCTACTTCATCCGAAAACGTTCGGGCTGGGCTGGAAAGCTGGAAGGCTACAGGGCTGAAGGGATGGAGGGCTCAGCTGAAGGGAAAGGCTGGGGAGACTGGAGGGTGGGAGGGAGGCATGAAGGGCTCAGATGGCTGGAAGTCCAGCGAGGAGGGCTGAAGGGGCTGGCGCACAGCTTGGCACAACTCAGCGGATGCGCAGCTCCGTGTGGCACGCGCAGGCAGCTGGTAAGAGCTGACGGCTTGTTGCGTCCTGTTGTTCGGGGGGAAGGGGTCTTATCTGAAAATGTATACATATATATATATATATCTATCATCTTTCGTACTACCTCCAGGGCCCGTGAGGGTCCGGCCATCTAAAACCTATGATGAAGCAAATGTTTTGCGCTACCTCCCAGCCAAAGCGCTGGCCCCAGTGGGCGCGTCTCTTGTGAGGCTACCTTTGCGGCTGGGATCAAAGAGAAACCACCCCATTGGAGGTTTCCCATTTGCATGCCAAGCAGGCAACCAAAAACCAGAAAGCTGCTGGACAACTGGACAGCTGCTCTCCTCTACTTCACCTTGTGGAAAATAGGCCTCATAATTCCAAAGTGGTTGATTCCCATACCTATGGCTACTTGAACGCATTCAGGGAGTCCACAACCTGAAGCCCAGCTTCCACAATCCCCAAAGGGGTCGCCTCCGGATGGCACCGCAGGTACCAGGCAAATGCGCCGTGGCTAAGTCCTTCGCGTGGAAACTCAGCAAGGGTCCGGGTGTTGCTGAATGATATTCCCCTCGTTGGAAGGTTTAAACTTGTACTATGCAACCCTCTTTGAACGGGTTCAACATCGCCTTTTTAGTCCTGCGGCAACTTTCCTTGTGATGGTTGAAAGGGACACTTCGGAACCCGCGAAGCCAACTTAATCGTATTACGACACACACCTTTTTGCAAAGACGCTACCAAAAGGACCCCCACGAAAGACCCAAAGGTAGCCACATCCATAGGACCCCCTTGATGCATCGCGACTGCCTTGAACCAGCCACGCTACAAATCTAACAACTGGAGTCTAGCAAGCCGTTTGCCAGCCCCACAGAGAAATCAAAGCTTCCCGGATGGCCCAGTCTGTAGGCAGCTTGCCTCCTTTCTCAGTTGCAAGTCAAACTCCTACCTGGATAATTACACAGGGCACCACCCACTTTGGCGGGGGTCGTCTCTTGTTGCGCGTGCCTCTAGCTGTGCAACTGCTTTGACCGCGCCCTCCTATTTCTGCCACTTGCCGCTTGGCCACTTCAACTTTCCAGCGTGCTTAGACCACGAGAACAAGTTTGCCTTTGCGCAAGCAGGTGCTGGGCGCGAACGCGCCACGTTTGCTGACAATGGTTCATGACTTCAATAATATTGACTACGGCCCTGAGCCGCGCTTTGGAGGAGTCAACCAAGTTTTGACACTCACCCAATTTGGGGTTGCTATGAAGTGAAGCGGTTGCCAAGTCTGCTCAGGTCACATATAGCAAACACAAAGGCAAAATAAGGGCATTGTTAGGTATGGAAGCTTCTTCTCCTTGCTAAAGGGGTATGAGAGCATGTCCGTTTAGAAGTGGCCAGCCTAACTCTTGGGAACAAACAGGTGTCACCAATTAACTGGGTACTGACTTTAGAATATTTCTGAGGACCCTGCTAGCAAGAGGAACTCCAAACACCGATCATTTCCGTCCTTCAAGTGGAGGGGGCCCCCACCAGATGAATACGACATTGGACAAAATAAGCTGAATCTGAAAGATGGATCTTCTGATCCGGGTTTTGGGTTCCTGCTCCGCCAAAATGGGACGAGACCAGTTGCTCCAATCCACAGGTTGAAGCAACCTCCCTTGATAAGTACGGTCCTGATCCCATTTGACATGAGCCTGCAAGCTCGACAATATTTCCAGAACTTGAATAAGGCATCCCGGGAATCCCCACGTAAAGGACCATAGTGACCTTATTCTACCCCCCCATAGCTCGCCATGAAAGGGGCAGCCAGTCCGACAACCCCACAATTCCCGGTCCTGCGGACATGCGGAGGTCGTTGCCCGCTTTGTTGCCTCACCAGCGTCCAGCTTCCTTCTTTTGGTGGCTGCATGATGCCAGACATGCGTGCAAGCCAAAGGAACCTTGTTTATAGTTTCAAGAAAAGCTTGGCCCCAAAAAACCCTTCTTGCCTTGTTGGCGCCCCATGTTTCGCATTGGTTTGCGCAGCTGAGCCCCAAAGCAAAAAACATGAGAAGCTCATTTTCCCAGCACCTCCAAACCGACCCACCGCAATCTGAACGCTGAGAGAGGCGTGGCTGCGACCGACCCCAGCTGCGACGAAGCGTGCAGCTTGGCTGCTGGGCAAGTGCTGCTCTCTGACCTGGTCCAGGCTCTGGAGCTTCGGCTGCAGCAACCTCGGCTCACTGGACCGGCGACTCACTCACCGCGAGTCGCATTCCTTGGGGTAGTCGAAAGAACCAGGTGAGATATAGAACGTCCTTCCTTGGGCTACTCTAAAGAATACATGCGGGTAGATATATGTATTCCAAAGAACCAAGTTAGGTTGGTTTGTCACGTACATATAATATACCTGGCTGTTGGGTCCATGTTTGTTGACTAACGGACAATGTGACCTCTTGGTGCGATTGTTCAGGGGAGCTCATGTCTTGTTCAGTCTCGCCTCATGCCGGTCGCTTGACAAATGCACCCTTTTTCAGCGATGCCCGTTGGCAATGGTCTCGGGATTCCTCTGATTCCACTGCCGGGTGTATGTTCAGAATGCTTAAAGATCGCAAAGTACATCTGCCCAAAGGACCTGAAAATCGAAGGTCCGCACTTTGATCAAAGTGGCTGTGTGCCCACGACTATGGAGACCTGTCTGCACGGCTGGACTTCCTGCTCATTCGTGTGAGAGACCTAAAGCTGGCACCGTTTGCCAGGTGCGCTTCAACCAAAACGAAATTGCAAATCGAAGCAAATGGCAAGCACATGTCCGGGAAAATGCAGTACCAAACCGTGAAGCCGGGCAAGCTTGGAGCATCCAAATTGCTATGACAAGGTTAACAGGGGTCCTTACATTATACACCGAAGAAAAAAAACGCCTTATAAATGGTGGCTTCCCTGTATGTTGGTGTTGAAAAAGCCACATGTGTCAACTGGGCAGGAAAAAATAATTTCTTTTAAGGAGCCCTGGTCAACAGAAAGCCAGGCCTGGAGCCGGGCAATGTGTGAGTTCAGCCCGGACAGGCTGGGAATCGAAGCCCATGAAGCCATGTTTTTGCAAAACGCACCCCATAGCTGCTGAACCCCCCAGCTTTCGGGAAGGTCATAAAAACTAAAAACTGGGAATGACGGAAAGCGATGGAATTCCTCGGATCCAACGGGAGGATGACTTCACTTCCCAAGTACTTTGTTTCCTCCGTTCAGATGTCCACTGCAAACCAACTCTGAAGGGGCACTTTGCTCCCCCCTCCCAGGGAGAGCTGGTCTAACATGTTGGCACCTTCCTGAAAAAAATGTAAGCTGCTAGCCCCAGCGTATCCCAGCATCGCATTTGCACAAGATGGCACAAGTCAAAGCAGCCAAGCTGTATACATGTTCGATAAATGTATATGCAACTGTTTTGACGTGGCGCCGTCATTTGCGGCCCTTGACGAGGTGCCGCTGTAATTAACTCCGCCAGGATTCCGAAGCACTCCCTGCTTGGGCATCCAGCAAGGGCGCGTGCCCCCCTTGTAGCAACCAAACCCTGGTTGAGTTGGTTTCTTCTTCCGGGGCGCCTCCCAGCCTCCCAGTTTAGACGCGATCCTGCAGTTCTAGAAACTGACAGGCCGAGTGCGGGTCCCACCCGTTGACACCTTCTCTCGGTGCCAAGAAGCTTTAAGTCCTGCAACAGCAACCGCAAGGCCTCCTTCACATCTCCAGACTGCAGTACGTCCGTCAAAACTACATAGCCCTCCTCCTGCAAGAAGACCTTCCAGCCTGAAAGGGGTTTGATTTGTTTTTGGGCCTATCCAATTCTAGGTCCTCCAGTAGTGGTGAGAATAAGGGTACCCGATCTTTTTTTCCTGTAGTCTATTTGAGTACGGGAAGCCTCGCCAAAAAAAGGCGAGAGAAGGCCACTACTGGGGGACCTAGTGTATCTCTTGCAGGTTGGCTTAAAGGGACGCCAAAAGGAACACCATCAGTGGGGTCACAATTATGAAGCCAGCATTCCCTTTGGGGACCGCATGAGTCGTAGAGAGGCCCGACCAAGCCCAAGTCCAAAGCCCGATGTCCACATTCTGCACTGCTTAGTCTATAAGAACTTGTTGGAGGACACCCCCGGGAAACATCCCATTTTGATCGGAGTTGCTCCCCTAGTTCACACGGGTTACTCCACCCAAGCGGAAGCCGCTAATCTGCAGAATAGAGCCTCGCCAGTTTGCGCGCCTGGGTTGTCCGCTGTGAAGAAGGCGGGGACCTGAGGCGTGGTCCCTTCAAGCCGTTCTCAGGGGGTTCTCAAAAATTAGGTCACGTCTGTTGTTCCAACAAAATGTGGTCAGTCTTCTCCAAGGCAAGCATAGATGTATAATAAAAAGGGGTTGCCCGGACTCACACAACGCTTCAGAGGGGCCGTGAAAACCAAAGGAACTTTCAATTTGGTTGCATAAGGGATCCCAAGAAAGAGGTAAAATATGTTCGGCATCCAAAGCAGCTCCGCGCGGCATCGCGCGGCCGGCCTTGAGGGGGGGGTTCCAGCCCGCCGCGCCGGGCGCGTAGGTGTGGCCCTGGTGCACCAACCGGGAGTCCCAGGCGATGAAGGCCGACCTCATCTCCGAGATCCCGGTGCCGGGTCGAACCCAAAAAGGGCTTGCGGGGTAAACTGGGGCAAATACATACCATGTACATAGTAAAAAAACCATGAAGGGGAACCATAACCCTTTCTATATGGTGGCGAAAAGTATTTTTAGGCACCGCTGGAGTTCCCCTTGTTCCAATTCCCAAACCTAAAATAACAAATCCGCCAGGGACCAACATCATGGCGAGCGAGCCGTGAGCTGTTAGGTTACACTTGAGATGACACAACCTCCATGTTTAGGTTTGATCATCGTCCTCACTTGCAGACATATACTTTCACGCTAGTGTATGTGCTACATAAAGGTTGCGTAGGTTTTTTTTTTTTGGGGGGGGGGGGGGGGGGGGGGGGGCCACGTACCGCGCGGCAATTTGATGACGTTCCACTAAACGTAGTCTTCGGGGAGCCGGTGTCGCAAAACAGTGGTCCCAGGCTCGATTCCCCCTGCCGGCTTTTTTGCTGGCTTGGGCTTCCTGCATCCTTTTTCCGAAAACCTGGAAAAACTCAATGTTTTTGGACGTCCTCTTTGCGAAAACGCTGGAAAAACTGTGTTTTTTTGCGGGAAATACTCCGGAGCAAAGGGGAAGTGCAAGGATACATACATACATACATACATACATACATACATTACAGTACATTACATTACAACACATTACATTACATGACGTTACCTGACATTACATACATACATACATTACATACATACGTACATACATGCATACATGTGTGTAAGCATGCATGCATGCATGCATGCATGCATGCATGCACACATACATACATACATACATACATACATACATACATACATACGTACATACATTACATGCATTACATCACTTACTTACTTGCTTACTTACTTACATACTCACATACATGCATACATGCATACATACATACATGCATACATACATACATACATGCATGCTTACATACATACATACATACATACATGCATACATACATACATACACATGCATTACATACATGCATACATTACATACATACATACATACATACATACATACATACATACATACATACATACATACATACATACATACATACATACATACATACATACATACATACATACATACATACATACATACATTACATTACATTACATTACATTACATTACATTACATTACATACATACATACATACATTACATTACATTACATTACATACATACATACATACATACATACATACATACATACATACATACATACATACATACATACATACATACATACATACATTACATTACATACATACATACATACATACATACATACATACATACATACATACATACATACATACATACATACATACATACATACATACATACATTACATACATACATACATACATACATACATACATACATACATACATACATACATACATACATACATACATACATACATACATACATACATACATACATACATACATACATACATACATACATACATACATACATACATACATACATACATACATACATACATACATACATACATACATACATACATACATACATACATACATACATACATACATACATACATACATACATACATACATACATACATACATACATACATACATACATACATACATACATACATACATACATACATACATACATACATACATACATACATACATACATACATACATACATACATACATACATACATACATACATACATACATACATACATACATACATACATACATACATACATACATACATACATACATACATACATACATACATACATACATACATACATACATTACATTACATACATACATACATACATACATTACATACATACATTACATACATACATACATACATACATACATACATACATACATACATACATACATACATACATACATACATACATACATACATACATACATACATACATACATACATACATACATACATACATACATACATACATACATACATACATACATACATACATACATACATACATACATACATACATACATACATACATACATACATACATACATACATACATACATACATACATTACATACATACATACATACATACATACATACATACATACATACATACATACATTACATTACATTACATTACATTACATTACATTACATTACATTACATTACATTACATTACATACATACATACATACATACATACATTACATACATACATACATACATACATACATACATACATACATACATACATACATACATACATACATACATTACATACATACATACATACATACATACATACATACATACATACATACATACATACATACATACATACATACATACATACATACATACATACATACATACATACATACATACATACATACATACATACATACATACATACATACATACATACATACATACATACATACATACATACATACATACATACATACATACATACATACATACATACATACATACATACATACATACATACATACATACATACATACATACATACATACATACATACATACATACATACATACATACATACATACATACATACATACATACATACATACATACATACATACATACATACATACATACATACATACATACATACATACATACATACATACATACATACATACATACATACATACATACATACATACATACATACATACATACATACATACATACATACATACATACATACATACATACATACATACATACATACATACATACATACATACATACATACATACATACATACATACATACATACATACATACATGCATGCATGCATGCATGCATACATACATACATACATACATACGAGAGAGGGAGATTGGAGAGAGAGAGGCTTGGGGGGATGGGGAGGATGGGAGCAGAGGGAGGGAGAGAGGACGACAGAACACACAAGGGAGACAAGGAAGAGAGGAAGAAGGAGAAAAGGGAGAGGACAATGTCGGCGGACTGAGCCGGAGGCTCTAAAGTTTTCCCTGCTGCCGATTTGCCCAGACCCTCGTGGAGATTGGGTTCGTCTCGAACCGTATGTAAACTCACGTAAAAGGGGTCCACGCAACCATGTATAGCTCAAAGGGAGGATATCTGCACCTGATGATTGAGATACATCGGAAGACCGCTCTAGGGGCAACTTGCCCGGGGAAAAATGTAAAGATTTGGGCAAATAGGCAGGTGTTTGTCAATAATGACTCTTCAAAAGCACGGGGAATGAACCCCTACATTTCTTCAGCAACCCATACGTCCTTGCAACGCCCCGTTTTGGCGATACCTTTTGTCCTGATGTAAATCCATCTTGAATGATTCTTAATAAAATTGCGGCATTGTGCCATGTACCCTCCCTCCAATTCACATCGAACCTGACAGGAGGGGTTCTTGAAGCCCATTTTGCTTTTACAGGAACCGGGTCCCGAGCGTCAGGTTCCGTCCAGAAAAGGTGAGGGGGTACTGTCACCCATCTGGCCATGGGTCAATGCCCGTACCCGCGGTGAACATCCCAATCTCCGCTAAAATCGACTAAAATGGGTGGTGCACCCACCCCAAAATGGTAATTACCATTGGTTTTGACCCACAGCCATCTGTGGGCTGACTCCATGGCTGATTCGCTGACTCGATCACCGATGCAAGGTGCTCGTGGGGCTGTTCCGACGTGGGCCGCACATCCAGCTGAACAGCCCGCTGCGCCAAATGCCCCACGCTGCGGGCGCTCTTGCCTCGGCGCCCGCAAAACCCGCGGGCCCGGTTGTCGGCAACACCGAAAATGGAGAGGCGCGAAACAAACACACACACACACAAAAAAGAAAAAAACACGGAACCGAAAATACAAACAGCAGAACACAGCAGAAAACAAACCAAAAAGCAAGCAAAACAAATAACAATGCAAAGCAGCAAAGGAAGAAGCAAGCAAGCAAGCAAAGCAAGCAGGCAGGCAGGCGAGCGAGCGAGCGAGCAAGGAAAGAAGCGAGCTACTCAGAGGGATCAGCCCTAAAATGAGTCCATTCCCTGCCAAAAATGACTCACCCCTGACCAGTGACCTTGGACTAGTAAACCATGGTAAACCTGCTGGTTGAAGAGGTGATTTCCTCTATGGCTACTCAACCCGGGATTCCCCTCTCAGCTTCCACAAGTCTTACGCCCTTCCGGAATCCGAAGTTCACGCGAAAACGAGCTTTTCAGTGACCCTGGGGGTAAAACAAAAACATCGAACCCTTTGTGGTCGGGTGATTCCATTTGTGGCTTCCAGCCACCAAACAAAAAGGGAAACAGGGTGCCAGTGGGGAAGCGACCAAGGGACAGAGCTGAAACCCGGCCCTTTGATTCGGCCCAAGTCGCAGCCCCCTAGGAGCTCGAAGGTGCCGTCTCGGTGGGTGCGGGGCACCACCTGCAAAGGTAAGCTATTGGTCTGGAGGGTGCAGGTTCGTGTCCTGCATGGAAACTCAAACAACCTGAGAATTCTTAGCTTCACAGTGTTTCTTTGGCAAACCTCTGAGTTTCAGCTTGTGGCAGGGCTTGTTTCTTTCAAGTTGGGCTTATATGGCGTTGGCTGTGCCTATGTTGGGCTTGATGTAGGTTCCTTATCGAATATTGGGCGTATTTGTACTTTTGTTGTTTGTACTTCTGTTGCTGCTTGTGCCGGCCACTTCCGTGCTGCCCCCCGGCCCGCCCCGCAGGCCTACATCAAATGTGACTGTGCGGATGATACTGAGGTGCCGCTCATTGTCGCAGGGAAAAGGCTTAGCTTTTGAGACGATGATCAAACTTGGGACAAGGGACAACCTTGTCAAACAGTTGGCTTGGCCCTTGCGCAGGCGAGGAAACTAAGGCAATTTCAAGTGGTTTTCAAGAGGTGGCACACCCCCAGAGGCCAAAGGCTTTAAGGGCGTTGATTGGTTGATTTCCCTTGGGGCAAGCAGAGTTGACAAAGCTTCGTCCTGCTTTCGCAGGGGTTGCCCACCAAAATTTCAACAAGCCACAAGCCACGGGCTTCGGCTGGGATTCTCGAGGCCCCATTTCGATCCATCCGAGGCGCCACCAAGCTGCGGAAGCGCTTGGCACTCATGGCTCCGAGCCCGGAGAAAGTGGGCGCTGCGGCGGAGGTTTTTTCATTTTTGCACGGCCCGTTCCGAAAATCCCATTGACCATCACCTGGTAAGGGGAACCTCAGTGTTCTAGCCTTTGTGGTTTGGTCATTGGCTGGGGGAAACGCTGGGAAAGGGAAACATGCCGTTTAGCTGGAAATGAGCCTCCTCGAGGCTCACCAAATAGCCGGCCCACTTCTCATCCTAATTAATCCCTGAAAACTACAAATTAAGAGAAAGGCAATTGATGGGAGTTGCTTCTTGTTCCTTCTTGCTCGGGGGATGCCCACCCCCAGGGCATCCAAAACATTCTTATGCCATCCTCCCCAGAATGGGTATGCCCCCAGAGCGCCTCTCTCTAAACACGGCCAACCACTTCCCGGACGTTTTAAGGGGAAGCCGACACGGCCAAAGAAGCCTGCCAACAAACAAGCCTTGCACGAATTCAGGGCTCCAAAATGATGTGCCAATGTTTTCCTTGCATAAGCTCACCACTGAAGTGAGGCTTTCTGGGTGCTTTGTGGGGAACTTCAAACCTGAGCGTGTCCGGGACAAATCAATCCTTGGTCGCGTTGCAGTTGGGTGAAACATCCCCTCATTTTTTTGATACGGCAATTATTACTTGGCTGTGGGTCAAAATTAGGTATCTGCAATGGAGCCCTGGCAGATGGAAACATGGATTAAAACCTGTGGTCCCCTGGTAGTTTAATTTTGACCCATACCCACATTGTCGAGCCCCGTCAACTGAGCTAATAATTGTTCATATATTTCTCGTACAATTCAAATGGAATACGGTTGGTTTAGCAACCTCTAGATTTTGGTTGCCCACATTGAGGGAATTGTGCCATCTTTTTTATCCTGGTGTACTACTGGTGTACCTTATTTGGATTGGTGATTTAGGGGTTCAAACACCCGGTTCCTTTCGAGATCAAATGGGGGACGGTGAGCGGATCCGACAAAAGCTGTTGAAATTGCATCGACCAAGGATTCATGGATCTCTCGGAAGTTTGGAAATTACTTGGCCTTGGTCTATCAGAAACAAACACGTGCCTTCTCCAAGCATCAAAGCGCCCAAAGTCTCTGAGACAATGACGTCCTCGGCTCCAGAGTTTGCACCCTTGCCGTGTCCCTATGTCGGGGCTGTCCTTAACGCGTGCATGTTGTTTCGGACAGACCTGCCGTTCTTCTGGGCCTATTGCTTGCTCAGGCCAGAAACACGTTCAGGGCAGGAGGAGCCCATGATGTCAACTACAACGTGGCAAACATATCGAGTGCTCGGGCTGGGCATGGCAAATTTGGAGTTGCTGTTCTCAATCCCTGGAACTCTTTGGGCACAACAGCAGCAAGTTGTCTGACTTGGGAACGAGGCTTCAGGGTTCTAAACTCTAAATATCAGCTGCTCGGTCTTACCATGGACTTAGCCTCAAATGTAAATCAAAGTTGTAGCTGACATCAGCCCACGCGAAATGCAAGCGCCACATTGCTTTGGATCCTGCACTGAAGCATGCCCCACATGAAAAGACAAGCCCTGTATGTGTCCACCTCTGTAGTTTCTCCACCAAATATAGTTCTAAATATGGTTGAGTACGATTTGTATGGGAAGACGTCCCAGAATAGGGTACCCTGTTGATTAAATATTCACCAAATGTAGCCATTAATCCGCCGCAAACCAACCCGCAATCCAACATGTCGGTATTCTTAGCACCCGAAGTTCACAGTTGTCGGGTTCGTGGGGGGGGGGGGTTGAAGGGCTACATGCATCAAAAGGGATAGCTAATAGCTGTGGTCCTTTGCCTTCGCGCCCGCAAGGCAAAGTGCCCCAAGAATCAAGCAACCTGATTGCGCCCCCGTTAAGGCGGAATCTCCTCACGCGGTGAGCCTCCTGCACATTCACATGGTGGCATGAAATCCCAAACCATCATTTGTACTGTTGTGGAAGCTTCTTCTTTTGGGACAAGTTTCCATTTGATGCTCAGTGCCATCTTTCCATTTCCAGTGTAATCGCAGGAACAACGCATGCCAGTTCAGCAAGTGTCAAGGGTGCCGAAGATTGCGCGGTGGCTAAGGAAACTCTTGTCGCGGTATATAGGTAAATTGTTGGCTTGCCACTTGGTTTGCTGTCGGTCATGCTCGGTCTATCAGATGACACCTCCAGTAAGTTGATGATCACCTTCCATCCTCAAGCCCTACTGGTTCAAGCCGCGGATTTTTTCCGCCGAGATGCTGCCTTGCTGGCGTCGTCCAAATGCACTTTGCTGCTCATCCCGTGAATGATCCTTGGGCAATGGCACGGCCGTATCGCTAGCCTGGAAAACAAAACACGCCTTGCAGATTGTTGTTATGCCGAATGTCCCCAAACTATAAAACATAAAGTGTCAGGGGGGTTCTCAAGAAGGTGGAGCCCCGTTGCATGGTTCTACAGGGAAGCCAAAAGGAATTCAGCCATTGTTGGGGCCCCTTTTTTGACACACACACACACACCCATGTGGCCAAATAGGCAAGCGCTCTTCCCCGGTGAATTGGGTACAACACCTACGCGCGAAGGGGTACGCGACATTGGCGTTTGCACTGTCCAGAGCACCAATTTCAGCTTTAAAAAGGAAACACAAGGACTACAACCACATTGTGCTCCCCCCTGTTTTGACACATGCCCAGCACATACCCATGAAGAGTGCCAAACAATCGTCCACTGTGCATACTGGGCAGACTGGCGGTTGCTTTGCTTCAGGCGTCTCTCGACAAACATCTATCGTCGGCGCACGCCAAGTCAATCTGTCCCCTTGCAGAGTTGGTCCAAAAACCTGTTCATTGGCACCAAGACAGGGGAACCAAGGAAAACCATTCACTGATTTTCTAGTCCTGTGATTTAATAACCTGTTAAAGGTCGGAGCAACCCTGCCTGTCTATCCAAAGCCAGCAAGTCATATCTCACAGCGCTAGTTGACATTGAAACAAACCATACCCTGTAAGTTTGTTTCTTTTCAGATGGTTGACCTCCAAAGGATGCCCTTGAAGCAAAGATCGCAGGTGCCAAACGTGCCAGTGGACAAGAAGTCCAATGGAAGCAAGCAAACAAAACAACAAAGGCGCAATAAAAGGCACTTTGTTTCGGGACTGAGCTCATGGGAAACCCACCCCAACACCAAATTGCCCAACTGCCGATGAACAAATGAATGCCCTCTACCAAGAATCATCTGGGCATAGATCGGTAGGTAGATAGATCCATGGATTGAGAGACAGATTACTTCCCCCCTACAGCGTGGAGCTCAGGACCATGGCCCGAACCAGGGGACCTCCAGTCCAATTTGCATTTCGGACGGAGGTCGTTCACAGGGACCCGCAGATTTCAAGGAACAAGGCCCCCAACAAACAAGAAACAAATGTTCTGCTGAGTCTTTTGTGCTGGAGATGGCGGTCAGAAATTCAGAGCTCCACCCTGCCTCGGTAGTTGATTTGAAAGCGCACCCCCAAATATATGTACATATATATTGAAAAGGGCTGGAAAAATCAAGTTTCTTGATCCCCCCACCCATCAAACCACTGGAACACATTGGCCACACTGGGCTCTCCAGGCTTGATCTTGTCCGCTTGCCCATTCCTCTGGGCATTGAGCGTTGCCAGGTCCAACATGTCCTTGGATGCCTCTCGGAGACTCGCCACTTCCCATGTCCCCCGGTGGCCTTAGAAAACGGGAACCCATTTTTTTCCGGCTTGGCTTAAAGAACAAAACAAACACAAGAGACCACTCAAGGAACTGGAAGGAGTTGCTTCTTGCATTACCTCTGTGCTTTACTCATTTGGTCTTGGTGCTATTTGCTCGATGTATTCCTGTCCAAGCTCCATTGTTACCGGCTTCATTATTGGCAGCTTGCCTTGTTGTTGCTCTTGCTACTGGCTTCTTATTTGGGTGCTTTCTGTTCTACTTTGCTGGGTCATGTTTGGCATGCTCTTTGGCTACTGCCTTCTTGCTTGGCTTGTCTCCTTTGCCCTTGGTTTTGCCCTCGGCAGAAGTGCTTCTTCTTCTTCTTCGTTTCCATTTGCCTGAAGCCTGCTCCGATTTGACGGCTGGGTTGATCTCCTTCTTGCACATGATCATGCCCGGGCATGGGACACCTGTTTATCGCGCCTCAATCCAATGGGCCCGCATGTTTCTTTTCTGGGTGGCCATCGCGCCCAATGCGAATTCTCTGATCCCTTGCCGGTTTGTGCGCACACCAGCAGGAAGGGCTGGTGGGCCGAACAGTCGCCGACAGAGATTGAGGTTAGGGTCAAATGCGACCGTTCTGCCGGCTGGTGTGAACTTCAAAAGTAACGACTCTTCTTTGGTGGGACGGGTCTCCAAGACAATTTGAAGGGTAGGTTCCTTCATCCCACAGGCTCAAAGAAAAATGACTGTGAGCCTACGGCCACGCTGGCCCTAGATCCCGGCTGACAGTACTTGAGACTTAGGTCTGATCACTCGGATTCCCAAGTCGAGTGGGGTTCCGGAACCCCGGAACCCCAAACTTGGATGTCCCCGGTGTTCCTTCTGAAGCAGCCACGAAAGGGTACCTCTGAGAACATGGGACCTTTTGCCCTGAATCCACAAGCCTCATGGCCTGGCAGGAGCCAGTCGTGGAGAAAGGGTGCCACTGGAGGTGTGGATTGGCTGGGAACGCCATGCGTGCGCCCACAAGTGCCCAATGGCACCTGACTCGGGCCTTTTGCAAACCAATTTTTCTCCGAACGCTGTTGCGAGACAAAGGTTCAATGGAAATTCATATTCTTGCCAACGCCTTTGACGTTTCCACAGTTGTGCATACACATGTCCAAGCGCTCTCCCCTTTGAATCAATTATCAATGGCCAAGTTGTTAATCTTAGCGGACCGCGTGCACTCTTTGCGGCCAGCCACTGGTGCGGATCTGTGCGAGCATGCACAGAAAGAAATCTTGGGCCCAGCGCGCGCTGCGAGCGGGCCAGGCATGGAAAAGGTGCCACATGCGGATCTGCAATGAACCTGCAAGGGCCTTCAAAGCCTTCGTGCAAACATTCTCACTCCCAATTCTATGTTGGGAAAGGCCCGGCGCTCAGGAGTGCTTCTCAGACTCCTTCAAGACGATGTATGGGTTCCGGAGCCAGTCGCTGAAGGTCTTACGCAAAGAGGATGTGACCTTGGTCAGGCCATCGGCCCACTGCAGGTGTGTCGGCACCCAGAAACAGGTGTCGAAGTTGATGTACTCCTGGATGCTGCGGATGCTAACCAGGGTACGCTTCTCACTGACCTTGGGGTTCTCTGCGGCGATTCCATCAAACAGCGAGCGGCTGTCTGTAACCTGGAACTGGTTCATGCGCTCCTTGGTGCGATGTGCCTTTTCGGCATGAAGCAACTCGTAGAGCAAGATGTTGGTGAAGTAAGCCCGGTCGACGCTGTCGTCGCAAGCCATTGCTTCCGCAGCCAAGGTCGAGCGGCAGACACGAGCCGATCGATTTGACTTCCAGTCTACCAAGTTTGCCTTTGTGGTAACCTGGGAGCAGTGCGGTGTTGTCAGTAGGGTCAAAACGCCCTGCTGGGAGCTGCACTTGACCGCGTTGGCCCAGGATGCGTCGGCGTAGCCGATGACCACGGTCGCCTTATTGATGGGCACGTCCTGAAAGACCAAGCCCTGCTTGGCGGTCTCCTTGGCGTAGTTGATCGCGCTGTAGAGAGTTGCCAGGTCTGCTGTGGTTGTCTCCTTGCCTCTATTGGCCAGGGAAACTGCGGCTGCCAGATCAGGTCGCGTCTGGCTGCTAAGCCACTGAATTGATCCAGTGACCGACTTGAACTCGGCCCGCTCGGTGGCCGTCAAGGGTGTTGGCTCTTGAGCTCTTCCTCGTGCCAGCTTCCCGGCTGGTGTGGCCTTGATGAATTCGGTCTGGGTCACGTGGAGGTGGTAGCGCTTGCCTGAAGCTGTATTAACCTCGTGCAAGCTGAGCTCCTTGCCCTTGAACACGAACGGCGTGGAGACGGTGAGGTTGTTGCGGGAACCCCACGTAAATTGAGATAGAAGTTCCTCCTTGTCGTACTTGGTGGAACATGCAAGCAGGAAATCGTCTACGTACACTATGCAGAGGGAAACCAATTTCCCGTTGCGGTGCTTGTAAAACATGAGGTGGTCTTGCGAATGTTGAACGTAGCCGACCTTCTGGCATCTGCGAACCACTTCTTTGTACCAGGTGCGTGGCGCGTTGGCGAGCCCATACACATTTCCTTTGATGCGGTACAAGGGGTGCCGGAATGTTCCGGCTCGCCTGGTTAGCTCGTCAGTGGGCGGCATGAGATAGAGTGGCTCGTCTCTGTCCTCACAAAGCCCCTGCAGGAACGCGGTGCTGACGTCTCCTGACCAGAGCTCCCAAGGGTCTGGCTCGTTTTGCAAGACGCCATTCACTCCGGCCGCGTAGATGCTAAGCAGAAGGTACTCTGACGTTCTGGAAGGCGTCGGAGCATCTCGGTTGATCTTGTAAAGGTCGGGGTCGAGGTGTCCGAGGGCAACGACTCTCGTCTTCGCGATGAGCTTAGACGGATCGCGGCTCTTGTTGCGGTAGCAAGCTCTGCTCTTCAAAACCCGCCGCCGCCTCCTGGGGTCTGTCATGATGGCCTTGGCCTCGGCCTCGCCAACTGGCTCAACTGATCCCCAGGTCTTCCAGCCGTTCTCCTCCTTGATGGCGGAGTCGATGAAGGCTTGGATCTTCTCCTTGGGCATGGTAAGGATCTGCCTCCAGGGGATCTCTCGATCCAAGGCTTTGGCTTCCTTTCTGGTCAGCATGCGCTCTGCTGGGTCTTGCTTCTCGCTACTGGAAGACTCGTCATCTGAGTCGTTGTCTCGGTTGACTGTCAAGTCCGTGACTAGGACTGGATGTCCTTCACGTTGCAGCACGGCTGCTGCTGTGCGTGCGAAGCTTGTGCTGGGGTTTGCAAGGTTGGGCTGATCAGGTGATCCGTCCCAATTGTAAGGTGGAGGTTGCAAGCCGTAGCTCTGAATGAGCAAGGCCTCATATGGTCGCTTCTGTGGTAGCTCCACCAGCGTAGGAGGTTGCTGGTCTTGCAACTCCATGTGTTGGTAAGGATCTGTGGATGCCGGTGGCTGTTGCTGTTCATCAGTGGTGAGGTCCACCAGCTCTGGAAGTGGTGGTGTGGTGTCACCGGATACCGGTGGTTGAGGGTTGCTGTTGCTGGCCGCCTGCGATGCTGCAGGTGTGACGTGGTCTGCTGCCTGTAGTTCGGGAGGTGTTACAGGCGCCATTTCTCCAATGTCAAGGTGCTGTTGTTGTGCCTGTGCTGGTGCGGGGAGTGTTGCAACTGCTGTTGGTGTGCTTGCGCCGCCGGTGGTGTGTTGCGATGCAGGTGCAAGTTGTCGTGATGGTGTGCGTGATGTGCTTCGACCGGGTCGTAGTGGCACGTATTGCGCCCGGTCCTGTCGTGTCATCCCGAAACGGGAGGTGCTTGCTGGCTGCTGTGGTGGCGCTGATTGTGACACCGAAAGGTGTAGGTCGCCTGTGTTGACATTGGTGGTGGTGTGCTGGTGGTACTCCATGCTGGCGTTGTGCTGCTGTGCTGGCTGTGACCGCGGTGTAGTCTGCGTGTCCTGATGTTGTTGCTGTGATGCCGCCGGTTGCTGATACTCAGTGGAAGGTGCTGCAAGTGGTAGTGCAAGAGGTTGTGGCATCTCGACCTCAAGGTCGTAGTCGTATTCATCTTCGTCTCGGGGAGGTCCATCAGCGCGATGGTCTTCCCAGAGGTCCTTCTGGATGCTGGTCGCTCCGTCCTTGATGGCGGCAATGTCCTCTCGTGAGGGCTGCCAGTTCTCGAATCCGTGGGCTGACCTCAACTGCTCAAGTGACACCTGAATGGTGGTGTTGCCGGAATGTAGCCAGGCCGATCGACCGTCTGGGTCGTTGGCTAGAAATCTGGCCACTACCCATCCACCGCGCTTCTTGGTCGACTTGGATCTGGGGTTCTGCCACCTCCAGTACGCACAGTTCTGGCCAGGCTCGATCTGCAAGTCTTTGGGAGATGCTGCTGTCTTGCGAAGCAGCGCCCGACGAAGTGCCTGAGAGACGTTGATCTCCGCAATGGCCTTCACGGCTTCGGCACGTAGGACGTCAGGTCTCATGGCTCCCGGCAGAGGCTCCACGTTGGTACACAAGCTGCGGTCGTCTTCCAAGAGTCCACCAGGAAGGCGAGGAATCTGGCCGAAAACTGCCATGTAGGCAGGTCTGCCATGGGTGTAGGTCATGCTGTTGATGGCGTGCACGGCACTCTCCAGGGCGGTGTCGAAGTCCTCCTCGGTCATCACTGCCTGGGAGTCAATGACACGCTCCAGGATGTCACGGAGAACACTGTTTCTCCTCTCCACCAAACCGATCCTCCAGTGGGCCTCAGCAGGTATCACTTCCACGTGGACGCCATGCTTCTCCATGAAGGTGCGGAAAGCGGCGTCGTAGGATCCTGCCGGATCCACACGGATCTCAAGCGGGAACCCATAGGGGCGAAGCCAAAGTGCCCGGAAGATGTCCACCATTGTCTGGGAAAGGAGATCTGGTAGTCGTGCTGCCTGATGAAGTAGTGTCGATTGGTCCACTATGCCGACCACGGCGTAGTTGACGCCCGTGACGTCCCTGCAGT